AATTCCTGATAGGCTGGCCACAGTGGCTCATAGCCTTAGTAATCCCAATACTCTGGGAAGCCAAGATGGGAGGATTACTTGAGCCCAGGAGTTTCAGACCAGCTTAGGTAATATGGTAAGGCTAAAAATAAAAAAAAAAATTAAAAAATTGTAAAGCATGGTGGTGCACATCTGTAGTTCCACCAGCTATTCGGGAGGCTGAAGTGAGAGGATCACTTAACCCAGGAGTTTGAGGCTGCAGGAAGTCAACCATGTTCACACCACCGCACTCCAGGCTGGGCAACAGTGAGACCCTGTCTCAAAAACAAAAACAAAATGACAAAAACTCTAAACATATTAGGAATAGAAGAGAAAAAAATAGGGCCAGGCACAGTGGCTCACATCTGTAATCCCAGCACTTCGGGAGGCCAAGATGGGTGGGTTACTTGAGAGGAGTTTGAGACCAGCCTGGCCAACATGGTGAAACCCCATCTCTACTAAAAATACAAAAAGCGGCCGGGCGCGGTGGCTCAAGCCTGTAATCCCAGCACTTTGGGAGGCCGAGGCGGGTTGATCACAAGGTCAAGAGATTGAGACCATTCTGGTCAACATGGTGAAACCCCGTCTCTACTAAAAATACAAAAATTTAGCTGGGTATGGTGGCGCGTGCCTGTAATCCCAGCTACTCAGGAGAATTGCCTGAACCCAGGAGGCGGAGGTTGCGGTAAGCCGAGATCGCGCCATTGCACTCCAGCTTGGGTAACAAGAGCGAAACTCCGTCTCAAAAAAAAAAAAAAAAAAAAAAAATACAAAAAGCCAGGTGTGGTGGTGCATGCCTATAGTTCCAGCTACACAGCAGGAGGCTGAGGCAGGAGAATCGCTTAAACCTGGGAGGTTGCAGTGAGCCAAGATCATGCCACTGTAATCCAGCCTGGGCAACGGGGTAAGATTCTTTCTTCAAAAAAAGAGAGAAATTCCCTAACATCATATTTAATGGTGAAAAACTCAATGCTTTCCTCTACGATCAGAAACAAGGCAAGTATGCTTCTTCTCACTATATCAACACTGTACTGAAGATTGTAGCCGGTATAATAGACAAGGAAAATAAAGGACATACAGATTGAAAGGAAAAACAAAAACTATACACAGATGATATGACTGCAGATGACAGGGTCTCAGGATACAAGGTCAATAGACAAAAATTACATTTCTGTGTTCCAATAATGAACAATCTAAAAATGAAATTAAGAAAGTGCCATTCTTACCAGGTGCAGTGGCTCATGCCTGTAATCCCAGCTACTTGGGAGGCTGAGGCAGGAAAATCACTTGAACTTGGGAGGCGGAGGTTGCAGTGAGCTGAGACTGTGCCACTGCACTCCAGCCAGGGTGACACAGTGAGAGTCTGTCTCAAAAAGAAACAAAACGATATTGAGGCTAGGTCTGGTGGCTCACGCCTGTAATCCCAGCACTTTGGGAGGCTGAGGCAGGTGGATCACCTGAGGTCATGAGTTTGAAACCAGCCTGGCCAACATAGTAAAACACCATCTCTACTAAAAAAAAAAAATTTTTTTTCAAAAATTCAAAACTTAGCTGGATGTGGTGACATATGCCTGTAATCCCAGCTACTCAGGAGACTGAGGCAGGAGAATTGCTTGAACTTGGGAGGCAGAGGTTGCAGTGAGCCGATAAGCGCCACTGTAATACTGAGTCTTGCAAATCCATTAACATGTTATGTCTCATTTAGATCTGTAATTAATGTTTTGTGGGTTTGTGTGTATAGGCTTTGCACTTCTTTTATGAATTTCAATATTTTATTCCAAATATTTTATTCTTTTGATGTTACTGTAAATGACACTTTTTTTTTTTTTTTTTTTGAGACGGAGTCTCGGCCTGTCGCCCAGGTTGGAATGCAGTGGCGCCTCCCAGGTTCAAGCAAATCTCCTGCTTCAGCCTCCTGAATAGCTGGAATTTTTAGTAGAGACAGGGTTTCACCAAGTTGGCCAGGCTGGTCTCAAACTCCTTGGCTCAAGTGATCTGCCTGCCTTAGCTCCTTAAAGTGCTGGGATTACAGGTGCAGGTGTGAACTCTTTTTTTTTTTGAGACAGGGTCTTGACTCTGTCACTCAGACTGGAGTGCAGTGGTCCATCATGGCTCATTGCAGCCTCAACGTCCCAGCCTTAAGCAGAAGGATAGCTTGTACCTGGGAGGTGGAGGTTGCAGTCAGTCGATACTGTACCACTGCACTCCAGCCTGGGCAATAGAGCAAGACTCCATCAAAAAAAAAAAAAAGCAAACTGGTATAAACCAGTCATTCAACAGCAACAGTTAGTGGCCATCTGCCATGTGCAAGGCTTATGGAAGGTGACAGAAGTACAATGGACAAGATAGACGCATTCACTGACTTCTCATATGTGATGGTCTAATGAGTGAGAGGTAGATAAGCACTGTGCTGAGAGCACATGGAAGAGGCACCTAAATCTGCCTGAGAAAGTAGGGGAAGCCTGTGAGCTGAGGCTGCAGCTGGCAGGACTCAGCCAGGTGCAGAGCAAGCAGAACAGCTACTTAGGCCTTGTGCTGAAACAAAAAAATGGTTCGGGATTCTGGAATATAGTGGGACTAGGACAAGAGGGGTGTAGTGTGGAGAAGACACTGCAGAGCTTGTCTTTTTTTTTTTTTTTTGATACTAGGTTTCGCTTTTATTTCCCAGGCTGGAGTGCAGTGCTGTGATCTTGGCTCACTGCAAACTCTGCCTCCTGGGTTCAAGTAATTTTCCTGCCTCAGGCTCCCCAGTAGCTGAGATTACGGGTGTCCACCACCATGCCCAGCTAATTTTTTGTATTTTTAGTAGAAATGGTTTCACCATGTTGGCCAGGCTGGTCTTGAACTCCTGATCTCAAGTGATCCACCCGCCTCAGCCTCCCAAAGTGCTGGAAATATAGGCTAGAGCCACTGCGTCTGGCCCAGAGCTTATCTTTTAAGGTAAAATGTATTATCTGGGCTAGGGATCTACAGAGAAAGGGCTGTTTCTCCACCCTGGCTCAGTCTAATTGACCAACTCCTTGGACTTAAGCTCAGGCTGAGGTCCACATTTCTGGACATTGTACTGGATGATGTGGAAAAATGAAAAGTATTTGTAGCTGAGCACGGTGGCTCACCCTGTAATTCCAGCACTTTGGGAAGCCGAGGCGGGTGGATCACCTGACGTCAGGAGTTTGAGACCATCCTTACCTACATGGTGAAACCCCGTCTCTACCAAAAATACAAAAATTAGCCAGCTGTGGTGGTGCGTGTCTGTAGTCCCAGCTACTCCGGAGGCTGAAGCAGGAGAATCGCTTGAACCTGGGAGGCAGAGGTTGCAGTGAGGCAAGATCGCACCATTGCACTCCAGCCGGGGCAACAGAGTGAGATTCTGCCTCAAGTTAAAAAAGAAAGTATTTGTAACAGGATGTGCTGGGGCACCCTATTCCCAAAGGAATGTAGTATAGAGGTATTAACTGTGGGGAAGAGGATAAGATGCTTGGAATGATACCGGTTTGGATCAGGAAGATAAGATATACTATGATTACCTAATTCATGAGTATGTGATTGCCAAATGGGAACTTTTTTCCATAGCAAACACCTCGAATCATGGACGTGTATATAACAGCTGAGTGTGAACTATGGGAACACTCGGGAATGTTACAGGAAGCCGCAAAGTTGCTGTTCTACCTCTTTCTCCAGATGGTTTCACAAAGAAGAGAAATGTTTTGATTTGGTCCTAGTTTTCCACTGTGATTGCTGCCTCTCTTCAGTCCTTTCCATACAAAAGATAGATGCGTACCAAATGCCAAACACAAGTTCCCGTTTGCCTGGTGCAGTGGCTCACACTGTAATCCCAGCACTTTGGGAAGCCGAGGCGGGTGGATCACCTAAGATCAGGAGATCGAGACCATCCTGGCCAACATGGTGAAACCCCATCTCCACTAAAAATACAGAAATTAGCCAGGTGTGGCGGACGCCTCTAATCCCAGCTACTCGAGACGCTGAGCCAGGAGAATCGCTTGAACCCAGGAGGCGGAGGTTGCAGTGAGCCAAGATCGTGCCACTGCACTCTAGCCTGAGTGACAGAGTGAGGCTGTCTCAAAAAAAAAAAAAAAAACAAAAAAAAAAAAACAAAAAAAAAACACTAGAACTCAGAAACTTTTGAACAACAATTTCCTCCTAGCACGAAGGGACTCAGTAAGATGAGCCAGCACTGCCTGGCAACTTTGCAAATCTCTTTAATGTGTGGCTTAAGACGGCTGGATTTTCTTTTCTTTTCTTTACGTATTTTTTTTTTTTTTTTTGGATGGCAGCTCACTACACTTTAGGGCGAAGACGGCTGGATTTTCATACCTGCTTCTGCATTTAACCTGGTGCATCTCGCGGGTCACAGGGCCTCTGCAAAACGAGATGGGGGTTCAATGCCGTGATCTCTGGGCCTGGGTCAAAAGAGTCAAGGCCTGGCCCCATCACACTCCGAGCAGTACAAACACCGCCTGCGCTGCCGGTGCCCGGGTCTCTTCACCCGCAGAGAGAGGTCTCACGGCCCCAACCAGGGTCGCCCTGAGGCTCAGTCTTCGCCGGCCCCACTCCGAGCGAGCACAGGGCTGGACCAGCCCACCCGGCCCCTGCCCCGGAGCAGAGGGACGCGGCGCGGACCCTGCAGGGGGTACCGCAGTGACAGAGGCGTCTGAGTGCCTGGTAAACTGTAAGGCGCGGTCCTGCGTGGGTTGCTATAGCTACGACTGCGCCAGGTGGAGGGCCTGCAGGACCAAGGTGTAGCCGGGACGAGGGCACAGCGCTCCCGAGCTCCCGCTTCGTACCGAGGCGTGGCGGAAATCTCCGCGCGGGCGTGGAGCCCCGAGCCTGGCCGGAGCAATGTAATCGAGGTCTCGGCGCTCTACTGATCCGGCCCCCGGGAGTGGGCGTGTCCACTTGCCTCGGGTGGTCTAACAGGCGTCGGAGAGAGCCAATAGTATGGCTTCGCAACTCCGCCCTTTCCATTCGATTGGCTGGCGCTGGAAAGCCGGGCGTGAGCGGCCGCAGCCTCGGTAGTGAGCCCCCGCGGGTCTCTGCCTCACTCGCTCTCCGCGCCCCGCCGCTCTTCGCTTCTTTTGCTCTGTCCGCCGCCATGGCCCAGTGAGTGACTTGCCGCGGGCAGCCAGGCTCGGCCTCGACCTCGGCCTGCGGGGAACTCCCCGGGGACTGGGATTTGCTTCGTTCTTTTGGACACCTTCCGCCCTGCGGGTCGCCTGAGCCCATTTGGTGCCCCGGGACCCCGGCCTTACCCGCGGGCCCGACCCCCTGCACTCTCGGCCGCGCAGGCTCGGGGCGGGGCGGGTCCCTTCGAGGGCCAGGGAGGAGGCGCGGCCAGGCCTTGCCTACCCAGCGGGGACACCTGCGGGAAGCGTGCCAGCCGGAGCCGGGCGCGGGGGCGGAGCTGGGGGCCGTCTGCCCGGCTTCGGCGGCGTCCGCGGGGAGGCGCGGAGGAAAGTGCAGACCCCAGTCACGGCCAAACGGGGGAGGGCCGGGCCGGGCCGCTGGGTTGCCGCGCGTCGAGCGGCGCTGACTCCTTTGTTCTGTTTCCGTTCCTCCAGAGCTGACATCGCGCTGATCGGATTGGCCGTCATGGGCCAGAACTTAATTTTGAACATGAATGACCACGGCTTTGTGGTAAGCCGCGCGGGCGCATTGTCTTCTCTCTGGTTCCCGGGCGCCTTAGCCGAGGCCGGCAATGGGTCTGGGAGCGCACGGGTCTCCTGGCCGCGCTTTGCGAACGTGCTCGGTTGCTGCCCGTGGCATTTTTGTTTGGAAAGGAGAAGCACCCTGTAGGCGTGGGCGGGGCGGGCCGATCCGGAACTTAGTCCTGCGGAGTGTGCCTGTGGGTCAGTGAGGTTCACAGCCGGAATAAACGGATCAGTATCTTAAGTAGAGACGAAGGGCGGGGAAGGAGAACCCCTGCTGGCTGTGTAGAGCTCTAACTTGATTGCCTCATAAGTTCTGGGGAGAGTGAAAATGTTTCTTCTAAATGCTAAAGTGGCTTAGGCACCAGGATGATCAGTAACAACAGACAGAGCCTCCTGTGGATTTGATTCTGAGTCCTAACAGGTTACCTGTGAACTCTACCTGACATGCCAGGGGCAGCTGACCTTCGCCTCGGTTCTCTGCCGTTTCATCCTACTGAGGTGACATAACTTTACATTGAGCCTCCCACAGCTGGGGGAGGAAATGGCCAAGGCAGGTCTGACCTCCCCCAGAACTTGGGCTGAATGGAAGTGTCATTGTTAACTTGGGCCACAGTCTGAAAGTCTTCAGTGTCCTGGATGTCCTACTCGGGCCTTTTGTCGTTCTAGGTCTGTGCTTTTAATAGGACCGTCTCCAAAGTTGATGATTTCTTGGCTAATGAGGCAAAGGGAACCAAAGTGGTGGGGGCTCAGTCTCTGAAGGAGATGGTCTCCAAGCTCAAGAAGCCCCGGCGGATCATCCTCCTGGTGAAGGCTGGGCAAGCGGTTGATGATTTCATCGAAAAATTGGTGAGGCCAGCTCTGCTTTCAGCTGCTGCCATGATAACAACTGTTTTTGGTTTCTTCCCTTAGTTCTACTTTTAACTCCAGTTTTTTTTTTTTTGTTGTTGTTGTTGTTGTTTTCCCCAATTTCTGCTAAGTTCTGACAAAATGATTGCTTAACTGTTGCAGTGTTGGTTAACTTGAGTGGCACTTATGAAGTAACTGTGTCCTTTGGTAGTAGTAATTCTGAGGATACTAACAGACATTTCAATAAAAATTCATTAGGGCACAGCGGCTCAGTTCTGTAATCCCAGCACTTTGAGAGGCTGGTGCAGATGGATTGCTTGAGCCCAGGAGTTCGAGACCAGCCTGGGCAACATGGTGAAACCCTGTGCCTATATAAAATTTAAAAAATTAGCTGGGTATGGTGGTGCAAGCTTGTGGTACCAGCTACTTGTGAGGCTGAAGTAGGAGGATCACTTTAGACCACAGTGATCCAAGATCTCACCACTGTACTCCAGGTGCCTGGGAGACAGACCAAGACCCTGTCTCAAAGGGAAAAAAAAAAAAATGCTGGGCATGGTGGCTCACATCTGTAATCCCAGCACTTTGGGTTAGGCAGGTGGATCATGAGGTTAGGAGTGTAAGACCAGCCTGGCCAAGATGGTGAAACCCTGTCTCTACTAAAAATACAAAAACTAGCTGGACGTATTGGTGGGTACCTGTAATCCCAGCTACTCAGGAGGCTGAGGCAGAGGTTGCAGTGAGCCAAGATCACGCCACTGCCACTGCACTCCAGTGTGGGTGACAGAACAAGACTGTCTCAAAAAAAAAAAATAAATAAAAAATAAAAATATTTCACTACTAGGCCAGGCGCGGTGGCTCAGGCCTGTAATCCCAGCACTTTGGGAGGCCGAGGCGGGTGGATCACGAGGTCAAGAGATCGAGACCATCCTGGTCAACATGGTGAAACCCCGTCTCTACTAAAGGTGCAAAAAATTAGCTGGGCATGGTGGCATGTGCCTGTAATCCCAGCTACTCCAGAGGCTGAGGCAGGAGAATTGCCTGAACCCAGGAGGCGGAGGTTGCGGTGAGCCGAGATCACGCCATTGCACTCCAGCCTGGGTAACAAGAGCGAAACTCTGTCTCAAAAAAAAAAAAAAAATTTCACTACTAACTAGTGCTTTTACAGGGTTCTCTATCTTTGATGTTCAAAATAATCTGACAGTGTTGATTGTATAATATTTATGAGTGTTTATCACTGTTCACTAATAAATCCAGGTGTCCAAATTCAGAAATAGATTTCACTTTTCTCAGTATTCCTATAAAGCAGGCGTCCCCAAACTTTTTACATAGGGGGCCAGTTCACTGTCCCTCAGACCGTTGGAGGGCCACCACATACTGTGCTCCTCTCACTGACCATCAATGAAAAAGGTGCCCCTTCCTGAAGTGCAGCAGGGGGCCGGATAAATGGCCTCAGGGGATAAATGGCCACATGCGGGCCGTAGTTTGGGGATGCCTGCTATAAAGCAACAATTCTGAAGTAGTTGTATAATTTAATATAAATCACAAGAGATCTCCTTAGGGGCTAGGTGCAGTTGCTCGCGCCTGTAATCTCAGCACCTTGGGAGGCCAAGGCAGGTGGATCGTCTGAGGTCAGGAGTTTGAGACCCGCCTGGCCAACATGGCGAAACCCTGTCTCTACTAAAAATACAAAAATTAGCTGGGCGTGGTGGCGCACACCTTGATCCCAGCTACTTGGGAGGCTGCGACAGAAGAACTGCTTGAACCTGGGAGGGCAGAGGTTACAGTGAGCTGAGATGGTGCCACTGCCCACCAGCCTGGCAACAGTGACACTCTGTCTCAAAAAAATAAAAATAAAAACAAGAGCTCCCCTTCGGGAATCTTAGGGAGCTGGTTGCTTATTTTTGTACCAAACAATTTGTTGACTTTAGCAAGATCCCTTTTTTGGAAGAAAAAAGTAGGGGAACCATTAGAAATAATGTATTTATATACCCCCAAATAATTGTACAGTAACAGCTCTGAAAAAGCCAGGCACTACCCATTTAGAAGAAATGTTTTGCTGCACACAGTGCAGTGATAGCTCAGGGGAGGCTGAGCATCCTTTATTAGAGGACTGGTGGTGTCAACAGTGGGGTTGTTTCCACGGGGAGAAGGATTTGTAACCAGTATGCCACTGTTTTTCAGACAGATGACCTAGAAAGGAAGAACACCGTGATTTAAAAAAAAAAAAAAAAAAAAAGGACGGCCGGGCGCGGTGGCTCAAGCCTGTAATCCCAGCACTTTGGGAGGCCGAGGCGGGCGGATCACGAGGTCAAGAGATCGAGACCATCCTGGTCAACATGGTGAAACCCCGTCTCTACTAAAAATACAAAAAATTAGCTGGGCATGGTGGCACGTGCCTGTAATCCCAGCTACTCGGGAGGCTGAGGCAGGAGAATTGCCTGAACCCAGGAGGCGGAGGTTGCGGTGAGCCAAGATCGCGCCATTGCACTCCAGCCTGGGTAACAAGAGAGAAAAACTCCATCTCAAAAAAAAAAAAAAACAAATAAAAAAAGGACATGGTAAATTTTTTGTGTGGTGAGCTGCCGAAAATCAGTTTCAGAGAAAACCGAAAAATGGTGGATGATTCCTCAATATAGGAAAATACTAAGTAATGTTAACTGGAGCCTTGTAGGGGGAAGATTCAGTAATAAATAACAAAGCTGAGCCTGGTTGGTGTGCTGTAGGTAGATACTCATGTTCAAGGCTCTTTCTCTTCCTGATCTCCAAACTGTGGTCATAAAATCATTCACACACTAAACCATTTGATAGTGATTTACTGAATCCCCATTCTTCTCTAGACACAGATGTTATAGTCAGTGTTTGTTTACTTACTTAAAAACAGAAATGGGGTCTTGCTATGCTGTCCAGGGTGGTCTGAAACTTCTGGGCTCAAGTGATCCACCTACCTCAGCCTCCCAAAGTGTTGAGATGGATTATAGGTGTGAGCCACTGACCCTGGTAAACCCTAAACTTTTAAATAGAGTCCAACTCTAATCACAGAGAGGGTTATTGAAGACTAAATAGGCTGGGTGCGTTGGCCTCCTGCCAAGCCAGGAGGATCTTTTGAGCCCAGGAGTTTGAGTCTAGCCTGGGCAATGAGATTAGCGTGGGCAACATGGTGAGACTCCATCTCTACAAAAAAAAAATTTTTTTTTTTTTTTTTTGGAGACGGAGTTTTGCTCTTGTTACCCAGGCTGGAGTGCAATGGCGCGATCTCGGCTCACCGCAACCTCCGCCTCCTGGGTTCAGGCAATTCTCCTGCCTCAGCCTCCTGAGTAGCTGGGATTACAGGCACGTGCCACCATGTCCAGCTAATTTTTTTTGTATTTTAGTAGAGACGGGGTTTCACCATGTTGACCAGGATGGTCTCGATCCCTTGACCTCGTGATCCACCCGCCTCGGCCTCGCAAAGTGCTGGGATTACAGGCTTGAGCCACTGCGCCCGGCCCCAAATTTTTTTTTTTTTTAAGGCAGAGTCTCACTCTGTCACCCAGGCTGGAGTGCAGTTGCGCAATCTCGGCTCAACTGCAGCCTCTGCCTCCTGGGTGCGATTCTTCTGCCTCAGCCTCCTGAGTAGCTGGGATTACAGGTGCAGGCCACCAAACCCAGCTAATTTTTCTATATTTAGTAGAGACAGGGTTTTACCACGTTGGTCGGGCTGGTCTCAAACTCCTGACCTTGCGATCTGCCCACTTCAGCCTCCTAAAGTTCTGAGATTACAGGCGTGAGCCACTGTGCCTGGTCTCTACAAAAAGTTTTTAAATTTTTTTTTTTTTTTGAGACGGATTTTCGCTCTTGTTACCCAGGCTGGAGTGGAATGGCGCGATCTCGGCTCACCGCAACCTCCGCCTCCTGGGTTCAGGCAATTCTCCTGCCTCAGCCTCCTGAGTAGCTGGGATTACAGGCACGCGCCACCGTGCCCAGCTAATTTTTTGTATTTTTAGTAGAAACGAGGTTTCACCATGTTGACCAGGATGGTCTCAATCTCTTGACCTTGTGATCCACCCGCCTCAGCCTCCCGAAGTGCTGGGATTACAGGCTTGAGCCACCGCGCCCGGCCTACAAAAAGTTTTTAAAAATTGGCTGGACATTGTGGTTCAGGGAGTTGAAGGTTGCAGTGAATCATGTTCACACTGCTGTATTCCAAGCTGGGCAACAAAATAAGACTCTTTTTAGGCTGTGTTTATTTGGAATAAATTCTTGTTTGTTTTAATTTGCCAAGGAATGTTTTGGTTTTGGTCCATCTTAATGCTAGTGTCTGGTTACAGGTACCATTATTGGACACTGGTGACATCATCATTGATGGAGGAAATTCTGAATATAGGGACACCACAGTAAGTGTTCTTCAGTCTAGATATTTCCAGGTTTTGAGAACATTACAAAAAAAGTGTCAGCATTGCATGTGTGACAGTAGGGTGAACTGCCCTGTGGTACTGATTTTTTTGAGATTGCTGCTGATATAATAGTTCTTAGCCTTTTTTTCTGCTAAGAAGACTCACTCGGTGGGTGACATTCTCAGTCATGCATATAACTCAAAGAGAATGACTGCTCGGCTACAGCAGGCCAAGGGTTTATGTTTAATACTTCCCCTTCTCCTTCCAACTAATCCGTGATATGTCAACATATAACTGGTTTAGAAACAGTGCTCTAAGATCTCAAACGCTGGGAGACGTCCTGTGTGCTCTAAAGTGCTGAATGGCGGTAAATTGTATTAAACCAACTCTTCATTGAGTCCTTTATTTAATGTCTTTTCTAGTAAAATGGCAATGTGTGTTTGGCTTAATTATTTCACTTTGGGGAAGAGGTAGGTATCTTGTTCTGTTTTTTAACTCCTACACATAGGGGATTAACTTCTCTGAGTGATCCGTTATCCCTAGATCCTTGGGTCACTTCCTGTCAAATGGAGGCTCTCCCTACCTATCTTATACTTCCTCTCATTTATAAGGAGAAACATTTTTTGCGGAGGAGCGTAATGAAACATGGAAACATAATGAAGTTATTTTTCTGTCCTTCAGAGACGGTGCCGAGACCTCAAGGCCAAGGGAATTTTATTTGTGGGGAGTGGAGTCAGTGGTGGAGAGGAAGGGGCCCGGTATGGCCCATCACTCATGCCAGGAGGGAACAAAGAAGCATGGTGAGTACCATTAACACTGTGCTCATCTCTGTACAAGGGAGCTGGGTTTGAGAATGAATAAGCCAGGAGCAATTCTGCCACCCTCATCTCCACTCCAGCGCTCTGAGGGTGACAGCTGGGAGATGCTGGCAATTTCTTTTATCTAGGTGTCTTGTTGCTTTGGCATAATATATGTGTACAAACCTCTTTTGCCTTTTTTCTTCTGTTAATTCCTATCAAGACTGATACCTGAAGTTCTAAATAGGGTTCTCCCGCATGGCCCAGGCTGGAGTGCAGTGGCAAGATCTTGGCTCACTGAAACCTCTGCCTCTTGGGCTCAAGTGATTCTTGTGCCTCAGCCTCCCAGGTAGCTGGGATGACAGGCGCCAGCAACCATGCCTGGCTAATTTTTGCATTTTAGTAGAGATGAGGTTTTACCATGTTGCCCAGGGTGGTTTTAAACTCCTCACCTTAGGTGATCTGCCCGCCTTGGCCTCCCAAAGTGCTGGGATTACAGGCTTGAGCCACTGTACCCAGCCTCTAAATAGGCTTTAAGGAAGCAGCTCAGATGATGTTCTGTGCAATGTCTGGATGTAGGAATAAGGTCTGCCTCTTTTAGTTGATAATATAACCCAAAGTAACTTTACTTCTTTTTGTTTTGTTTTGTTTTTTGTTTTGTTTTTGAGACAGAGTCTTGCTCTGTTGCCAGGCTGGAGTGCAGTGGTGTAATCTTGGCTCACTGCAACCTCTGCATCCTGAGTTCAATCGATTCTTCCACCTCAGCCTCCTAAGTAGCTGGGACCACAGGCGCGTGCCACCATGCCCGGCTAATTTTTGTATTTTTACAGAAATGGGATTTCACCAAGCTGGCCAGGATGGTCTCGGTCTCTTGACCTTGTGATCCACCTGCCTCCCTCCCAAAATGTTGGAATTACAGGCATGAGCCACCTTGCCTGGCCATTTTTTTTTTTTTTTTTTTTTTTTTGGAGACAGAGTCTCACTCCGTCACCCAGGGTGGAGTGCAATGACACCATCCCTGCTCACTGCTACCTCTTCCTCCCAGGTTCAAGCAATTATCCTGCCTTAGCCTCCTGAGTAGCTGGGATTACAGGTGTGTGCCACCATGCCCAGCTAATTTTTGTATTTTTAGTAGAGATGGGGCTTCACCATGTTGGTCAGGCTGATCTTGAACTCCTGATCTTGCTACCTACCTCGGCCTCCCAAAGTGCTGGGATTACAGGCGTGAGCCACCGCACCTGGCCAATTTATATTTTTTATATGTATATATAAAATTGCGGATAATGGGGAAATCTGGCTGGGCTTGGGAATGGCCTGGGAATTAGGTGGAACATTTTTTTTTTGAGAAGGTGTCTCACTCTGTCACCAGGCTGGAGTGCAGTGGCATGATCTTGGCTCACTACAGTCTCTGCCTCTTGGGTTCAAGCGATTCCCCTGTCTCAGCCTCCCGAGTAGCTGAGACTACAGGCACGTGCCACCACACCTGGCTAATTTTTTGTATTTTAGTAGAGATGGGGTTTCGCCATGTTGGCCAGGATGATCTTGATCTCCATCTCCTGACCTCTTGATTCTGCCCGCCTCGGCCTCTCAAAGTGCTGAGATTACATGCATGAATCATGATGACCAGCCATGGAACACTTCTATTTGACTTGGACAAAAACAAGCTTGGCCCTGTTCACTGTTCTGTGTAGGAAGAATGTTGGCCATAGAAGAGGAGGTGCTTGGATGATGTGAAATGAGGGATGTCTGAGAGCTAAATGGGGGCAGGTGAGTGGGGTGGAGAATCACAGCAGAAAGATGGAAGTGATGGACTATGTGTAAGTTAGACTGAGGGGCAACACCACTGCTGAGATTGCAGAGAAAGAGCAAGCCAGACAGAAGAAGGTAGGGAGATGGAGCAGAAGACAAAGGAGCCAGGGGAATGGAAGGATCCTTTTAGGGGAACATGGAGAGGTAATGTTCTTTTCTGAATGAGTTTGATTCTTGAATAGCCTAGAATTAAAGTACAGGAGTGATCAAACAGAACGCCGAAAGGTGAGGGGCTTATTTTGAAAAGGCTGGGCATGGTGGCTCATGCCTATAATCTGAGCACTTTGGGAGGCTGAGATGAGAGGATCACTTGAGGTCAGGAGTTCGAGACCAGCCTAGCCAACATGGTGAAACCCTGTCTGTACTAAAAATACAAAAATGAGCTGGGAGTGGTAGGGAGCATGTGTAATCCCAGCTTCATGGGAGGCTGAGGCACCAGATTTGATTGAATCCAGGAGGCGGAGGTTGCAGTGAGCTGTACCACTGTACTGCATCATGAGTGACATAGCAAGACTCTGACTCAATTAAAAAAATACATACGTGATTCTTTAAATTACCTTTCTGGTGAATGAGTCTGGGGATTCTCTTCAGTGTATTATTAATAAAACACAGAAGTAGAGAGGCCTTTTTGCTTTTCAAAAGTTTAAACAGCTGCATGTGCAGTGGCTTGTTCCTGTAGTCCTAGCTACTCAGGAGACAGGTGAGAGAACTGCTTGAGCCCAGGAGTTCAAGGCTGGCCTGGACAACGTAGCAAGACCTTGTTTTTTGTTTTTTTTTTTTTGAACCAGAGTCTCACTTTGTTGCCCAGGCTGGAATGCAGTGGCGCGATCGCTGCTCGTTGCAACCTCTGCCTCCCAGGTTCAAGCGATTCTCCTGCCTCAACCTCCGGAGTAGCTGGGATTACAGGCACCTGCCACCATGCCTGGCTAATTTTTGTATTTTTAGTAGAGACGGGGTTTCACCATGTTGGCCAGGCTGGTCTTGAACTTCTGACCTTGTGACCTGCCTGCCTCGGCCTCCCAAAGTGCTGGGATTACAGGTGTGAGCCACCGTTTCCGTCTGAGACCTTGTTTTGTTTCTTTAAAAAAAAAAAAAAAAAAAATAGGTTTGAAAATACTTACCTGGGAGCACCTGCACAGTGGGTAGTTAGAAAGACAGACAGCAGACAGTGCACATAAAAATATTTGACATTCGGAGTGCTCCAACTGTTTTAATTTTCCTCATACTGTCTTGGCAGAAGTACAAATGGCACCTTCACCTGGAAGACAGTTTAAAAGTTCAATGAAGCTCTATAGCTTCAGGTGTAGCTGCCTTAATCCCTAATCCTAAATGTTACTATGCAACCCTGTAAGATTTTGTGTTTGTACCAAAAACTTTTTGTGAGGAAGGCCTGACTGGCCAGCAGAGAGAACAGTGAGGGAAAGCCTCATGTCCGTGCTGAGCTGTGGAAGGAGTGAACAGCGGCCTTTCTCTGAATGGTAACATAGCTCTCAAAAACGCTGCCTGGTTCTTCACCCAAATCTCCAGAACCGTTCTGTGTCTGGCCACACACATTCAGAGAAACAAAAGAGGGTCTCTTCACTTGTTAAAAGCCATTATACCTGGGTGCGGTGGCTCACGCCTGTAATCCCAGCACTTTGGGAGGCCGAGGCGGGTAGATCACGAGGTCGAGAGATCGAGACCATCCTGGTCAACATGGTGAAACCCCGTCTCTACTAAAAATACAAAAAATTAGCTGGGCATGGTGGTGCGTGCCTGTAATCCCAGCTACTCAGGAGGCTGAGGCAGGAGAATTGCCTCAACCCGGAAGGTGGAGGTTGCGGTGAGCCGAGATCGCGCCAATGCACTCCAGCCTGGGTAACGAGAGCTAAACTCCATCTCAAAAAAAAAAAAAAAAAAAAAAAAAGCCATTATAAGGAGAAATGAAAAAAATTAAAAGAGGGTCTCTAAAGGAACTTTTGTATTGCTTGCTGTTTCCAATCATACCTTCTGCTGCTGCTGCAATAGAAATTTCCAAGCCAGGTGTGGTGACTCATGCCTGTAATCTCAGTGACTCAAGAGGCTGAGGTGGGAGGAGTGCTATAGCCCAGGAGTTCAAGATCAGTCACGTCCACACAGGGAGACCCCCTCTCTGCAGCAATAACAAAAAAATTAGCCGGGCCTGGTGGCTCATGCCTATAGTCCCAGCACTTTGGGAAGCTGAGGTGTGAGGATTGCTTGAGGCCAGGAGCTTAACACCAGCCTGGGTAACATAGCAAGACCCTGTGTCTACAAAATTTTTTGGCGGGGCACAGTGGCTCACATTTAGGAAGGCCAAGGCGGGTGGATCACAAGGTCAGGAGTTCTAGACCAGCCTGACTAACATGGTAAAACCATGTTTCCACTAAAAATACAAAAATTAACTGCGTGTGGTGGTGTGTGCCTGTAATCCCAGCTATTCCAGGAGTCTGTGGCAGGAGAATTGCTTGAACCTGGGAAGCAGAAATTCCAGTGAGCCAAGATCATGCCATTGCATTCTAGCCTGGGCAACAGCGAGACTCTGTCTCAAAAAAAATTTTTTTTTTAAATTAGCTGGGGGTGTGGCACACACCTGTAGCCCCACCTACCTAGAAGGCTGAGGCAGGAGGATCACCTGTGTCCAGGAGTTTGAGGCTGCAGGGAGCCATTTTTGCGCCACTGCACTCCAGCCTGGGCAATAGAGCGAGACCCTGTCTCTAAGAAGACATTTCTTTGATGATGATTCTGCTCAGCCTTTCTGTCTGTAGTCTCAGTCCAGTAGTCCAGTCTCTGCTTTGAGGGCCCACTAGGATCTAGAGGAGGGGACCAGTTTCAGTCAAGGGTCTGAAGTTTACCTTGAGAACTTACAGCGCATTCATTATCTTTTTGTGGGCACTTCCACTCCCATTAGAAAGAAAAAGGTAGGCCCGGTGCGATGGTGGCTTACGCTTTTAATCCTAGCACTTTGGGTAGCCATGGTGGGTGGATTACTTGAGCTCAGGAGTTCGAGACCAATCTGGGCAACATGGTAAAACCGTTTCTCTACAAAATCCAAAAAAATAAGCTGGGCATGGTATCACAGATCTGTAGTCTCAGCTACTTAGGGGGCTGAGGCAGGAGAATCACTTGAACCTGGGAGATTGAGGAGGCTGCAGTGAGCTGAGAGCACACCACTGCACTCCGGCCTGGGTAACAAAATGAGACCCTGTCTCAAAAAGATGAGGCTTGGTGCCTCTGGGTATGTACTTGGGCTCTCAGCCCGTCTCTTCTCATTAGCTGATCCGTCCTGTTTCCACAGGCCCCACATCAAGACCATCTTCCAAGGCATCGCTGCAAAAGTAGGAACTGGAGAACCCTGCTGTGACTGGGCAAGTACTGGGCGACTCTAAAGCCAGCTGGCAACATGGGCGTGTCTAAGTGATGAAGTGTACAGAGAAAGGCCACTGTGGTCTCCCATTGGTTAGCTTGGTGACATAAACGTCTCAGTCTTTGATCACTAGCATAGCCAACACCTAGAATGCATGCCTGCTCTTCATATATTTGTATCTTAACTGTTCATAGCCTTGAGGTTGATATTAAAAGCAGCCTTCTGTAATTCATCTAAAAGATGGATTCCTTAAAAAGAAACAGGATGAAGTGAAGTAAGATTTTTTTGAGCCATATTATTTGATGGCCAAAAGAAAGCATGTCAGAATCAAAAGTTGGGTTTGCTTGTCTGGATGAAAGGAAGAGGATCGAATGTCCTATTGCTGTGTCAAATGTCCTGGCCATGAATGTGGAAAATTCCCATTCCTGTAGCATGGGATTCAGGCATTCTGTGCTTAAACAAAGCAACCTGCTGACTTGCACCATCACTGAATGAGAAGGAGGGCTAAGCTAGTTCAGAGCTACTTGCTCAGTTCTATTTTGTGGATTTTTTTTTTTCTATTGTCCAGGCTGCAGTACAGTGATGTGATCTCAGCTTACTGCAACATCCGCCTCCCAGGTTCAAGTGATCCTCCTGCCTCAGCCTCCTGAGTAGCTGGGATTGCAGGTGCATGCCACCACACCTAGCTAATTTTTGAATTTTTTGTAGAGACAGAGTTTCACCATGTCACCCAAGTTGGTCTCAAACTCCTGGACTCTCACGTCATAGCCTGCCTTGGCCTCTCAAAGTGTTGGGATTACAGGTGTGAGCCACCATGCCCAACCTCAGGTTGCTGTTAGAGTAAACTTTATCTTATATTGTAGATAAACACTAGGCTCAGGAGACCCGAGTAGTAATTCTGGCTGTTCATTAACCTAACTGTGACATCACCAAGCCACATCCCTTTGTGGACTTAGTTTCCTTACCTGTAAGATGGTTTGGACTAGATGATCTCCAAGCTCCCTTTAGCTCCTGATTCCTTTTAATTTTATATCAGCAATATTAATGCTAATTTTTTTATTCAGTTTTATTTTATTTGAGATCAACGGGGAGGTTGAAATAAGGACTCAGGTCTGTGAGGAATCAGGGAAGCCCTCCTTCGTAGGTCAGCCAGTGCTTGGTGGCTTTGGCTACAGCAGTTCCCCTGTCCTTACCTTTTCACCAATGGTCAGCCACTGAGCTCAGTCAGAATTTGCTTAGGGTAGAAAAAGGCTGGTGCTGGGACTCACGTAAAGGGCTGAGTAATCTTCTCATTAGTATGAAGGACTGGAAAGGGAATTATGTTCCCTGACAGTAGATTACTACAGTAAAAGAGGCTGGGTGCAGCAGCCCATGCTGTGATCCCAGCATTTTAGGAGGATTCCTTGAGCCCAGGATTCCTAGGCTACAGTGAGCCATGATCACACCACTGCTCTCCAGCCTGGGTAACAGAGCAAGACCCTGTTTCTTTTTTTTTTTTTTTTTTTTTTGAGACAGAGTTTCACTCTCGTTACCCAGGCTGGAGTGCCATAGCGCGATCTCGGCTCACTGCAACCTCCGCTTCCCGGGTTGAGGCAATTCTCCTGCCTCAGCCTCCTGAGTAGCTGGGATTACAGGCACGCACCACCATGCCCAGCTGATTTTTTGTATTTTTAGTAGAGACGGGGTTTCACCATGTTGACCAGGATGGTCTCGATCTCTTGACCTCGTGACCCACCCACCTCGGCCTCCCAAAGTGCTGGGATTACAGGCTTGGGCCACCGCATCCGGCCGACCCTGTTTCTTTAAAAAAAAAAAAAAAAAAAAAATGCCGGGCGCAGTGCCTCAAGCCTGTTATCCCAGCACTTTGGGAGGCAGGTGGATCACGAGGTCAAGAGATCGAGACAAATGTTAGTCTGCTCGACACCAGATTATCTAAAAATTATTTAATTGTCAGGGAACTGGAACAAAAGGAGTGACAAGAGCCAAACAGTTCATGGCATCAGGCTCTCAGCCATCTACACCTTGCTCCACTACAAGGAAACACCTGCCCAGGAGGCCCAGTTTGGATGACCTGGGCAGTCTCTATCCTGGCAGTTACCACTTGAATAATATGACTGACGCTCCCATTAGGACAAATTGTCCATGTTTCTTTTTTTTTTTTTTGAGACGGAGTCTTACTCTGTTGCCAGGCTGGAGTGCAGTGTAGCAATCTCAGTTTACTGCAAACTTCGCCTCCTTGGCTCAAGTGATTGTCCTGCCTCACTTGAGGTCCTCACTTAAGATCCATAGTTAAGTTTTCCATTCTACATTCATAACAGGTATTCTGATTTTATACATCTTGCCAGCTTATAAATAAAGATCTTGTAAATGATGGGACCTTGAAGGGACACCTTTCTGGGTTTACAAAGTTGAGACCTTGGATCTAGGGTCATTTTACTTAGCAGCTATTAGGAACAACTGCAATACATTCATATTAAAAAAAAAAAAAGTGATTTAATTAGCCAATATATTTTAACCTCTAGATGCTAGACAAGTGGTAACTTTGGGAAAAAGAGGACTTTTTTCTTGTGGGTGGGGGCTGGGAAGGCAGGGAGTTGCTTTGAATGATGGGGAAGAGTAGAAAATACAGGCTAAATAAAGGATCATAGGTATTTAGAGTTAATTCAGGGACTTTGAGAAACCTTTAGAAAAATGAGTCTGGAATTAGTGTCAAATAATATTGTACTGGACTGAAGCTTGTGTTGAATTGCTATATGATTCTTATATCAAAAATGCTATATTCGTTTTATACTTGTTATTTTTTTGTGTGGAGAGATAGCCTTGCCAGGGACATTTAGCATCAAAGCTGATGTGGACTTCTCTGGTGTGTTGCCTGCCTCTCTGAGGGCCTCTTGGTGCTTGTCCTGACAGGTGGGAGAAGAGGGAGCAGGCCACTTTGTGAAGATGGTGCACAACGGGATAGAGTATGGGGACATGCAGCTGATCTGCGAGGCATACCACCTGATGAAAGACGTGCTAGGCATGGCACAGGACGAGATGGCGCAGGTCAGGCCCCAGCACTACCTCTGTGTCCATGCTGCAGGAAATGCTCGCTTGACCACTGACACTGAATTTTTCTTCATTCCTATCCCCTTGACCATTCTGGTGGCCTTCATAGACTTGGCCTACTTTAAGGGAAACTGTCAGTAATAAGGCTGTACATTATGCTAAGCAGAATATCCCCTCAGAGTCTGGGTGGTTATCATCACCAGCATTCAGTGTACCTTACCTGAGGTCAGACACTGTGTCACTTCACATACCTGTCTCGTTTACTCCCACAGTCATCCCACACGGCAGATACAGCAGAAGCTTTCTTTTCTGATCAAGTTGGAATTGGCTTTTTGATAGTTAATCCAAAAAGTTAGTCCATGTAGGGAAGCTGAAGCATTCCCCCACCACTTTATTATGAAAACATTCAAGCACGCAGCACAGTTGAGTTTTACAGTGAACACCCATATACATACCACCTCCTTTCTCCTGTACACAGGTTTTTTTTGTTTTTTTTTTTTGAGACAGGAGTTTCGCTCTTGTTACCCAGGCTGGAGTGCAATGGCGCGATCTCGGCTCACCGCAGCCTCCGCCTCCTGGGTTCAGGCAATTCTCCTGCCTCAACCTCCTGAGTAGCTGGGATTACAGGCACGCGCCACCATGCCCAGCTAATTTTTTGTATTTTTAGTAGAGACGGGGTTTCACCATGTTGACCAGGATGGTCTCGATCTCTTGACCTCGTGATCCGCCCGCCTCGGCCTCCCAAAGTGCTGGGATTATAGGCTTGAGCCACCGCGCCCTGCCATGTACACAGGTTCTTATACTTGCTTTATCAATGTCTGTCCATCCCCCATCAATTTCATCTTATTTTTTGGATACATTCAAAGTAAACTACAAGTTTCTGTGCTTTTGTTTTCCCTAAATACTTCAGATGAATCTATCTTTATCATGAGGTAAACATAGATTTAAAACATAGGAAAGGACCTTCATTCAGCCGTCAGTTTTTGTAGGGCCCAGCCCTGCTTGTTAAGTATGGTTTGCTGATGTGTGTTTTATTCTCGTCTTAACCATCTAGAATTTCTAGTTTCAGTTACTTCAGATGGGATGTGATCTACAGACACTAGCAAGGCATATAGTATAGAAGCTTTCCAGATTTTTTGTTGTTTTTCTCCTAATTTTTTATTCATGTCATCCTCACTTATTTCGACTATTATTTGTTGCACTGGCCAGCTTTTATTGTTCTTTCTAAAACATTACCTTAGTTTTCTTTCACAGAAATAGTGCTTTTCTCTGTGTTCATTTTTTTTTTCTTTTTTTTGATACAGAGTTTCGCTCTTGTTACCCAGGCTGGAGTGCAATGGCGCGATCTCGGCTCACTGCAACCTCCGCCTCCTGGGTTCAAGCAATTCTCCTGCCTCAGCCTCCCGAGTAGCTGGGATTACAGGCACGCGCCACCATGCCCAGCTAATTTTTTGTACTTTTAGTAGAGACGGGGTTTCACCATGTTGACCGGGATGGTCTCGATCTCTTGACCTCGTGATCCACTCACCTCGGCCTCCCAAAGTGCTGGGGTTACAGGCTTGAGCCACCATGCCCAGCTGTGTTCATTTTTAATTGGTGTATATAATATTTAATGTGTTCACTCAGCAAATACACATGAATGCTTTACTATATGCCAGGCATGATTTAATTGCTGGGGATATATATATAATAGTCAAGAAAACAAAGTCTCCACCCTCCTGGAGCTAAGAAGACAGACAATAATAAATAAATAGTATAAAACTAGTCAGTGATGACTGTGAGAAAGAAGAGTAAACTGGGATGAGATGGGGTGATTGCAGACTTCGGGGAAGGCAGCGGTGCACAGAGACCTCAGGGAAGTGAGGAGCCCTTGGCTCTGAGGGGAGAATACTTCTGGTACCCAGAATTTCTGCATAAACAGGTTCAGATCAAACACAACTCATGCTGGGTTAGCATAAAACTCCACCAGCAGGAGCAGAAGTCCCCAGGCAGACGCGAGCAGAGCCTGCTGGCCCCTGTGAGCATTGGTCAGCATGGACATTGGACAAGGGGCTTCCTTTCACAGCTCTGGTTCCTCTAACTTGGTTCTCTCCTGTGTACTGCACGTAGGCCTTTGAAGATTGGAACAAGACAGAGCTAGACTCCTTCCTGATTGAAATCACAGCCAATATTCTCAAGTTCCAAGATGCGGATGGCAAACATCTGCTGCCAAAGATCAGGGACAGCGCGGGGCAGAAGGGCACGGGGAAGTGGACTGCCATCTCCGCCCTGGAGTACGGCGTACCTGTCACCCTCATTGGTAAGGTTACCCTTTCCACTTGAGCCCTTTCTTCCACTATTCTGGTCTTGATGTCTGGAGGATGGATACAGACTGGGCTTTAGAGAATCTCTTCAGTCCTCTTGAGCTTTCAGAGTGCCTTTTGCTCTTTCTGTGAAGAACCTGATCTGACAGCGTGAGAGAGGCTGATGCTGCTTTTGATTCTCTTCTTTGTAGTTCTTATGTCATTCATACAGACTGTGAGGTAAATTCAGAAGCAACTGTCCTTCCTATTCAGTTTATCTTTGGAATATTTTAGCATTAGTGACTTAATTGTAGTCAGTGATCTAAGATCTTATTTTGGGGGCAGGTAACTTGAGTGAAGTTTTTCATAGAAAAGTTCATGAATAACAGGGCTGGGCATGGTGGCTCACGCCTGTAATCCTAGCACTTTGGGAGACTGAGGCGGGTGGATCACCTGAGATCAGTTCAAGACCAGCCTGGCCAACATGGAGAAACCGCGTCTCTACTAAAAATACAAAAATTAGCCCAGTGTGGTGGCTGACGCCTGTAATCCTAGCAACTTGGGAGGCTGAGGCAGGAAAATCACTTGACCCGGAGAGGCGGAGGTTGCAGTGAGCCAAGATCATGCCACTGTGTTCCAGCCTGGGTGACAGAGTGAGACTCCATCTCAAAAATAAACAAAAAATAAAAAAACAGTATTTTTCCCGTTTGCTTCTCTAGATACAGGTTGCCATTCTCTCCCTAGACTCCTCCCTCCTTTTGACTTCTCCATTCGTTTTGCCTCGCCCTGTTGTGTGTGGCGTAAGTCAGAGTTAAGGAGGGAAGTCGGTGGTTTTTACAGTCCGGTGCTGTATAGAAGGAAGTTGGCTGCTTTTAGCAGATCTGAGCTATAACAGGTGAGCAGGGAGGGGCCAATAGCGAGGAGCAGTTTATTCATCACAGACTCAAGTGTATGTGAAAGTATTAGGATCTCAGAATCCTACTCTGCTTCTGTGGATCCATACACTCCTTCCCCTAGGACAGCTGGGACCATCCCCTGGCTGGGAGCCCTCATTATTTGTGAACTAATAGGGAAGTCTTCCAGCTGCCCTCGCCCCATGTAACAGGAAGGGTTTGCCTCATCGCCTGTTGCACTAGTCATCTTACAAAGCTTCCTTCTAGAAATGCTAAGTCATCCTGTGTGTGCATTTGGGCCAGGAGAAAGGCAGCTGCTTTCGTGTTTTTCAAGTAGGGTTAGTAATCTCAAGCTATAGCTGCTCCTCTTTCCTCAGAAATAAAGTCCTCTGCTAGTTCCCCAAGATTTTACTTCATTTTGTCTGTGGGGTGGGGGAAATGGCTAAGGAGTCATTTATTAATCCCAGCACTTTGAGAGGCCAATGTGAGTGGATCACAAGGTTAAGAGTTCAAGACCAGCCTGACCAATATGGTGAAACTCCATCTCTACTAAAAATACAAGAATTAGCCAGGCATGGTGGCGAGTGCCTGTAATCCCAGCTATGTGGGAAGCTGAGGCAGGAGAATCGCTTGAACCCAGGAGCCGGAGGTTGCAGTAAGCAGAGATTGCACCACTGCACTCCAGCCTGGGCTACAGTGACACCCTGCCTCAAAACAAATAATAAAAGAGTCCTTTATTCTAAGTATATAAGTTGTCAGTTGAGCAAGTAGTCTTATATAAGGGATACTTTTTGAAAATGCTAAATGTATTAATATTAAAATACATTGAAATTTTTTTTTTTTTTTTTTTTTTTTTTTTTTTTTTTTTTTTGAGACAGAGTTTCGCTCTTGTTACCCAGGCTGGAGTGCAATGGCACGATCTTGACTCACCGCAACCTCCGCCTCCTGGGTTCAGGCAATTCTCCTGCCTCAGCCTCCTGAGTAGCTGAGATTACAGGCACGCACCACCATGCCCAGCTAATTTTTTGTATTTTTAGTAGAGACGGGGTTTCACCATGTTGACCAGGATGGTCTCGATCTCCTGACCTCATGATCCACCCGCCTCAGCCTCCCAAAGTGCTGGGATTACAGGCTTGAGCCACCGCGCCCGGCTCGAAATTTTTTTTATTCAAATGAAGTAAAATGTGAAACTTTGATGATCATGGATATACTGAAAACCAAAAAATACTAAAAACCTTAACATTTTTTTGAGAGGTGAGTCTGTGTGACCTCTCAATGTAATATCTTCAAAAAAAAAAAAAAGTCCTCTAAATTGAATTTGAAATTGTACTTGTGGACCAACACTGAGTAATTCTACCTAACAGTGGTTTTTATTTTACTGTTTTTAGAGAAAAGGTCTTAACTCTGTTGCCCAGGCTGGAGAGCAGTGGTGTGATCATGGCTCACTATAGCCTTGAAACCCTGGGCTCAAGTGATCCTCCCACCTCAGCCTCCCCAAGTACTGGGATCACAGGTGTTAGCCACCTTGCCCAGCTATCATAACAGTGGTTTTTACCTCTTCGTTTTCCATCAAAACTCCCCTTTGAATTTCATGTTAATGTTTGTGGACGGATTCTCATGTTTATATTGGAAGATTGTCTTGGAGTTTTAGTTATCAAATTAACTTAGACCTTATAAAAGTTCTTTCTGATCCATGTTAACTTTTGTGGCCTAAGGTTGAAACTTTGACCTCTTTGTATAAACAGACTTTCCTGCTCCGTCTTTCTTCTGGTTGCTGTGTGAACTCTGGTGATCTATTTCCTCTTCCCGCTACTCCCATGTAGGAGAAGCTGTCTTTGCTCGGTGCTTATCATCTCTGAAGGATGAGAGAATTCAAGCTAGCAAAAAGCTGAAGGGTCCCCAAAAGTTCCAGTTTGATGGTGATAAGAAATCATTCCTGGAGGACATTCGGAAGGTGGGACACATCCCTGACAGTGGTCTTTGTTGGTTCCATGGCAGGCAGTGGGGGTGGGGGTGGTTGTGGGAGAACACGTGAGACCACAAATGGCAGGTGGAATGAAGTTCAGCCTTCACTTGGATCTTTTTTTTTTTTTTTTTTTTGGAGACGGAGTTTCGCTCTTGTTACCCAGGCTGGAGTGCAATGGCGCGATCTCGGCTCACCGCAACCTCCGCCTCCTGGGTTCAGGCAATTCTCCTGCCTCAGCCTCCTGAGTAGCTGGGATTACAGGCACACGCCACCATGCCCAGCTAATTTTTTGTATTTTTAGTAGAGACGGGGTTTCACCATGTTGACCAGGATGGTCTCGATCTCTTGACCTCGTGATCCGCCCGCCTCGGCCTCCCAAAGTGCTGGGATTACAGGCTTGAGTCACCGCGCCCGGCCTCACTTGGATCTTGACTTACAGCCTTTTCCTAGAATCTTGTCCCTTCTAGGATCTCTACTGCTGATGAGAGTAAGACTGGTAGACATGAGGCGGTCCCTCTCCTAATCGCAATCCTCATAGGTCTCTATGTCACTCTTCAGGCCCTCTACGCTTCCAAGATCATCTCTTACGCTCAAGGCTTTATGCTGCTAAGGCAGGCAGCCACCGAATTTGGCTGGACCCTCAATTATGGTGGCATCGCCCTGATGTGGAGAGGGGGCTGCATCATCAGAAGGTAAGTGAGAGGCAGCCTGGGAAGGACTCATGCTGCTGTGCAGAAGTGCAAGCTTAGGACACTTAGCTTGAGCAGCTTCCAGGGATGGGCAGTTAGCCCCATAACTGGACACTGGCAACAAGATGGGTTTAGATGATCTGGCTCCCTTCTTCCCCGTACCTCTGTTGCTCTAACTGGATTGTCCACTCTATACCTTTGAAAGTGCCTCTTGGGACTTTTGCTCTTTATTTTCATTGAAAATGTCAAATCATAGAAAATGTAGCATTCCTACACGTGACGTTACATCCTTCTCGTGTTAGCCAAAGATTCATTTGATGAATCTTATTTTTCTGAAATAGATGATTCAGATGATTCTAATGTTAGTTCTCTTTAGAAATGACTCCAAGAATAGTTTTTAAGTTTTATTTTCACACTGAATATCTGTCAGATTTGCATCAGCCTCAAAAAGCCTGTTTGTGTAAAATTAAGTGAGTGCTGGCAGCATGCTGTGCTTACCAGCCAGCTCGAAGAGAGAGAAATAGAACTTTGTACTTTGCCAGAGTATACATCAGCTTCCAGCTTACTTTCCTGTTAGAGTTAAGATTCATTGCTTTTTCCCCCTCGATTATTTCAGTGTATTCCTAGGAAAGATAAAGGATGCATTTGATCGAAACCCAGAGCTGCAGAACCTCCTACTGGACGACTTCTTTAAGTCAGCTGTTGAAAACTGCCAGGTACGTAGCCTAGAGCTCGCGCCATCCGTACTCTACCTCCCGGGGCCTTCAGTTTCTCTCTCTCTCTTTTTTTTTTTTTTTTTTTTTTTTGAGACGGAGTTTCACTCTTGTTACCCAGGCTGGAGTGCAATGGCGCGATCTCGGCTCACCGCAGCCTCCGCCTCCTGGGTTCAGGCAATTCTTCTGCCTCAGCTTCCTGAGTAGCTGGGATTACAGGCAGGCGCCACCATGCCCAGCTAATTTTTTGTATTTTTAGTAGAGACGGGGTTTCACCATGTTGACCAGGATGGTCTCGATCTCTTGACCTCGTGATCCACCCGCCTCGGCCTCCCAAAACGCTGGGATTACAGGCTTGAGCCACTGCGCCCAGCCTTTCTCTCTCTTTTTTATCTGAGACGGAGTCTCCCTCTCTTGCTCAGGCTGGAGTGCAGTGATGTGATCTTGGCTCACCGCAACCTCTGCCTCCCAGTTCAAGTAATTCTCCTGCCTCAACCTCCTGAGTAGCTGGGACTCCAGGCATGTGCCACCACACCCAGCTAATTTGTTTTTGTATTTTTAGTAGAGATGGGGTTTTACCATGTTGGCCAGGCTGGTCTCGAATTCCTGACCTTGTGATCTGCCCACCTCGGCCTCCTAAAGTGCTAGGATTACAGGCTTGAGCCACCGTGCCTGGCCTAACGATCAGTTTTTCATTTACCCACATCGAAGTGAATGAAAATCTATCAGTGTTGCCAGGGGTAAATCACGAATCTCTGGCCTTGCATTTTGTGCCCAGGACTCCTGGCGGCGGGCAGTCAGCACTGGGGTCCAGGCTGGCATTCCCATGCCCTGTTTTACCACTGCCCTCTCCTTCTACGACGGGTACAGACATGAGATGCTTCCAGCCAACCTCATCCAGGTAAGCCTGCAGGGGTTAACCTGGCTGGCCCTGAGGGGGCATGTGCCGCAGACTATCCTGACCAACCTACTCTCTCATTTCCTAGGCTCAGCGGGATTACTTCGGGGCCCACACCTATGAACTCTTGGCCAAACCAGGGCAGTTTATCCACACCAATTGGACAGGCCACGGTGGCAGTGTGTCATCCTCGTCATACAATGCCTAATCATGCTGCGTCTGTCACCCTCCGCAATTCCACAGACCAGGACATTCCATGTGCCTCCTGACGCGCCCACATGGCCCTTTGCCGTATTTTCTGTTCAGATCTTTTTTAAAAAAGTGTTGTGATTCCTGAGGAAGGCACAGAGTTTATTTGTAAAGTAGCTTTGTGAGAGCTGCTGTACCCTCTGCCCTTGCCTCTTGGGACTGGCCAGGAGCTGCTCCTGTGCGTAGATGTGGGAACCTCCTCCTCACAGCAGTGTCCCCGTGCTGGTGCGGCTCCCAGCACACAGGTGGGAAGAGTGTCTGTGCGCTCTAAGCAACTGGAACCTCTGTATCATGCGGCTCAATTCCCTTTTCCTTTACTCAATAAAACCGACATCAGACTGAAGCTCTTTCTCTAGATTCTTAAGTAGTCTCACCTCAGCCACACACAGCCATTATCCTCATTGGCAGAAAGATTTTTCTTTTAAAAACAAAAAATGGGCCGGGTGCGGTGGCTCAAGCCTGTAATCCCAGCACTTTGGGAGGCCGAGACAGGTGGATCACAAGGTCAAGAGATCGAGACCAGCCGGGCACGGTGGCTCAAGCCTGTAATCCCAGCACTTTGGGAGGCCAAGGCGGGTGGATCACGAGGTCGAGAGATCGAGACCATCCTGGTCAACATGGTGAAACCCTGTCTCTACTAAAAGGTGCAAAAAAAAAAATTAGCTGGGCATGGTGGCATGTGCCTGTAATCCCAGCTACTTAGGAGGCTGAGGCAGGAGAATTGCCTGAGCCCAGGAGGCGGAGGTTGCGGTGAGCCGAGATCGTGCCATTGCACTCCAGCCTGGGTAACGAGCGAAACTCCATCTCAAAAAAAAAAAAAAAAGAGATCGACACCATCCTGGTCAACATGGTGAAACCCCGTCTCTACTAAAAATATAAAAAAGTAGCTGGGCATGGTGGTGCGTGCCTGTAATCCCAGCTACTCGGGAGGCTGAGGCAGGAGAATTGCCTGAACCCAGGAGGTGGAGGTTGCGGTGAGCCGAGATCGCGCCATTGCACTCCAGCCTGGGTAACAAGAGTGAAACTCCATCTCAAAAAAAAAAAAAGGGCTGGGCGCGGTGGCTCATGCTTGGAATCCCAGCACTTTGGGAGACTGAGGCAGGTGGATCATGAGGTCAAGAATTCGAGACCATCCTGGTCAACATAGTGAAACCCCGTCTCTACTTAAAAAAAAAAAAAAAAAAAAAAAAAATGAGCTGGGCATGGTGGCGCACGCCTGTAGTCCTTGCTACTCAGGAGGCTAAGGCAGGAGAACTGCTTGAACCCAGGAGGCAGAGGTTGCGGTGAGCCAGGATCTCGCCATTGCACTGCAGCCTGGGTAACGAGCGAAATTCCGTCTCAAAAAAAAAAAGGTAGAATAACACAGGAAACACATTTAGGATCATGCTTAACAGAGAAGGCAGGCTGGGAGAGTGCACCAGGGGCTGTAGTTCACTGGGCATGTTTATTTCTCCAGGTGGGCAGTGCGTATGTGGATGTTCACTCTAACAGGCTTTTTCTTTCCTTCCTTCCTTCCTCCCTCCCTCCCTCCCTCCCTCCCTCTTTTTTTGCTCCTGGCAAGCTGTGTGTGACATTCCTTATGCCTTTTTGTATGTCAAATACTTCATAATAAACTTTCTAGAGAATTACACTTTAATGATAGGCTTAGCTTGGTCTGATTTATTTCCTTTCTCACATCTGTCACTAAGTTAAGTCCAGGGGGGATTCAGTGTGGGATTTTGAACAGTCTAGCCTGCTCCTTAAACCAGGCTTTTCACTTAATCTTATTTACTCAGAAAAAATAAAAACCTGCTAGCATACTGATACGATTATGTGGCCTGGGGCCACGGCAGGTTCCCTGCAGCGGTCTGACTTCATGATCTCTCCCTGGAGTGTTAAGAAAGTCCTAAGAGGCCGGGCGCGGTGGCTCACGCCTATAATCCCAGCACTTTGGGAGGCCGAGGCGGGTGGATCACGAGGTCGAGAGATCGAGGAACATGGTGAAACCCCATCTCTACTAAAAATACAAAAAATTAGCTGGGCATGGTGGCACATGCCTGTAATCCCAGCTACTCAGGAGGCTGAGGCAGGAGAATTGCCTGAACCCAGGAGGCGGAGGTTGCGGTGAGCCGAGATCGCGCCATTGCACTCCAGCCTGGGTAACAAGAGCGAAACTCCGTCTCAAAAAAAAAAAAAAAAAAAAAAGTCCTAAGAGTTGCCTAAGAGGAGCAAATGGTGCCTGTGCCTCCACAGCTGCTGTCTACAGTGTGACCTCTGTCCTCTTGGAGCTAACGTGAAAGACAATTTTCATTCAATCACCAGCTTTTTATTTTTACATTTTGTTTAGAGATGTGATCTCGCTATGATGCCCAGGCTGATCTCGAGCACCCTGGACTCAAGCGTTCCTCCCATCTTGGCCTCCCAAGGTGCTGGGATTACAGGCCCTCCCTGCACATTTAAGAGAAGCCCAAGTAGCCCCACATGATGGATTGGTTTTTTTTTTGAGACAGTCTCGCTCTGTCACCCAGGCTGGAGTGCAGTGGCGTGATCTCAGCTCATCACCACCTCTGCCTCCCAGGTTGAAGTGATTCTCCTGCCTCAGCCTCCTGAGTAGCTGGGGCAGCAGGCGCCTACCACCATGCCTGGCTAGAGATGAGGTTTCACCATGTTGGCCAAGCTGGTCTCAAAGTCCTGACCTCGTGATCCACCTGCCTCAGCCTCCCAGAGTGCTGGGATTAGAGGCATGAGCCACTGTGCCCAGCCAGGATTGATGTTTAAGGGTTGCGAAAGGCACTGCTCAAGGGGGATCTTTTGACCCAGCCCTGAGGTTGATGGAGGACGCTGCTAGAATGGAGAGAGAACAGCAGGAGGTCAGAGGCTAAGTGTCAACAGGACTTAAAGCTGGATTGCCCAGGATGTTTGAAACAGTGATGATCAGAAGAGAAACCACTCAGCCCCTTTGTTACCTTCCAAAAAGCTGCAAATGGTCGAGTTTGGTTTCAAATCCAGCCCCCTTTGCTCACTAGCTGTAAGACTTTGGGGAAATTATTTACTATCTCTGTTCTCACTTTCTCATTTGTAAAATGGGAAATGTGTCCTTGAGGCTATTTTGAGGATTCACCAAGGGAAAACAAAACAGTGCCTGGCACATAATAAATACACAAGCGGGAGCAAAGCTGGCTGTGGTGGCTCACACCTGTGATCCCGGCACTTTGGAAGGCCAAGTTGGGAGGACTGCTTGAGACCAGCCTGGGCAACATAGTGAGACCCCCATCTCTACAAAAAATAAAAACTAGCTGAGCACAGTGCTACACACCTAAGCTACCTGGCAGGCTGAGGTGGGAGGATCGCTTGAGTGATTGAGGTTGCAGTGAGCCGTGATCACACCACTGTACTCCAGCCTAGGTGATAGAGCAAAACCCTGTCTCAAAAAAAAAAAAAAAAAAAAAAAAAGGTCCGTCGCGGTGGCTCAGGCCTGTAATCCTAGCACTTTGGGAGGCTGAGGCAGGTGGATCATCTGAGGTCAGGAGTTAGAGACCAGCTTGGCCAACATGGTGAAACCCCGTCTCTGCTGAAAATACAAAAAACTAGCTGGGCGCATGCCTGTAATCCCAGCTACTCAGGAGGCTGAAGCAAGAGAATTGCTTGAACCCAGGAGGTGGAGGTTGCAGTGAGCTGAGTTGCATCACTGCACTCCAGCTTGGGTGACAGAGAGAGACTCTGTCTCAAAGAAAAAGTGACAGCAGTTACTACCATTGAGTGTGCCTGACCCCTGGAGCAGGGTTGGTTGGGGTTTTTTTTTTTAGATAGGGTCTCAATCTTGCCCAGGCTAGAAAGCAGTGATTTAATCAACCTTGAACTCCCCGAATTCAAGTGATCCTCCTGCCTCAGCCTCCCGGTTAACTGGATCTACAGGCATGTGCCACCATGCCCCACTACTAATTTTTTTGCAATTTTGGTAGAGACAAGGTCTTGCTGTGTTGCCCAGGCTGGTCTCAAACTCCTGGGCTTAAGTGACGCTGCTCCCACTTCAGCCTCCCAAAGTGCTGGGATTGCAGGCATAAGCCACTGGGCCTGGCCAGCAGTGGTGGGTGTTTCTACTGAGAGAAACCAGATGTTACCTCTCAATATCAGTGGTGAATTTGCTTTTCACCCAGTCCTCAAAAGGTTGCTGGTAGGGGTGCCTGTGTGTGCTGTGCAGCAGGTGTAGAGGTTAAGAAAGGTCAGAGCTTCTCAAACTAACCTGCTTATGACTCTCCCACTCCCACCACCACCTCCCTGAGATTTTAAAAAAGTAGATTCTGATTCAGTGGGCTGAGGTGGGGCCCCACATTCTGCATTTCTTTCTTTTCTTTTCTTTTTTTTTTTTTGAGACAGTTTCGCACTTGTTACCCAGGCTGGAGTGCAATGGTGTGATCTCAGCTCACCGCAACCTCCGCCTCCTGGGTTCAGGTAATTCTGCTGCCTCAGCCTCCTGAGTAGCTGGGATTACAGGCACGCGCCACCATGCCCAGCTAATTTTTTGTATTTTTAGTAGAGACGGGGTTTCACCATGTTGACCAGGATGGTCTCGATCTCTTGACCTGGTGATCCACCCGCCTCGGCCTCCCAAAGTGCTGGGATTACAGGCTTGAGCCACTGCGCCCGGCAGCCAGAGAAACATCTTGCTTGTTGGCCCAGGGGTCTGAAGGTAAATCTTCCCGCTAGGGAGGCAGAAGCACATAGATGGCCTTTTAAAGCCCAGCTGTGAATGTTCCATGGCATGATTACAGCAGTATAAAATCAGTTCTGGCCGAGCGCGGTGGCTCAAGCCTGTAATCCCAGCACTTTGGGAGGCCGAGGCGGGTGGATCACGAGGTCAAGAGATCGAGACCATCCTGGTCAACATGGTGAAACCCCGTCTCTACTAAAAATACAAAAAATTAGCTGGGCATGGTGGTGCGTGCCTATAATCCCAGCTACTCAGGAGGCTGAGGCAGGAGAATTGCCTGAACCCAGGAGGCGGAGGTTGCGGTGAGCCGAGATCGCGCCATTGCACTCCAGCCTGGGCAACCAGAGCGAAACTCCGTCTCAAAAAAAAAAAATCAGTTCCAAGCAAGTCACAAGCCCCCCAGACTCAAGGGTTGGATTAGCCTCTACCTCTTGATGGGGGAGTAGAAGGTTCTAGAAGAGCACATGGATCAAGAGACATTGTTCTTGCCATCTTCGTAAATTATAGTCTGTTACATATGCTGACCCTGAAAAGGAAAATCAGTTATTGTGGCAGAGTTGGGAACTGGCACTATTCGGGGGTCTTCCTGAAGGTCTCATACAATAAAAATGGCGTATATGTAGGAATACAGCTGGGCGCGGGCACTGTGCTGGGTACCCTTTGTCCAGTGTGAGAGAAGTCCAAAGTCCTGACCTCATGTGCTTACAGAATACGTGTGATATTTAATGGTTTTTAAATTTTTATCTTCTCTTGAAGAAATCTATGAAATGGAGATTGATTTTTTTTTTTTTTTTTTTTGAGACATAGTCTCACTGTCACCCAGGCCTGGAGTGCAATGGTGTGATCTCTGCTCATTGCAACCTCTGCCGCCGGGGTTCAAGCGAGTCTCCTGTGTCAGCCTCCCGAGTAGCTGGGATTACAGGCGTGCCACCATGCCCAGCTAATATTTGCATTTTTAGTAGAGATGGGGTTTCACCATGTTGGCCAGGCTGGTCTGGAACTCCTGACCTCAAGTGATCCACCCGCCTTGGCCTCCTAAAGTGCTGGGAATACAGGTGTGAGCCACCACACCTGGCCAAGATTGATTTTTGTATCGACATTTTACAGTGCAGTTTTTTTTGTTTTGTTTTGTTTTTTAGATGGAGTTTCATTCTTGTTGCCCAGGTTGGAGTGCGATGGTGTGATCTTAGCTCACTGCAACCTGGGAGGTACGATCTGCATCCCAGGTTCAAGCAATTCTCCTGCTTCAGCCTCCAGAATGGCTGGGATTACAGGCATGTGCCACTATGCCTGGCTAATTTTTGTATTTTTAGTAGAGATGGGGTTTCCCCATGTTGGCCAGGCTGGTCTCGAACTCCTGATCTCAGGTGATCCACCCGCCTCAGCCTCCCAAAGTGCTGGGATTACAGGTCTGGGCCACCAAGACCAGAGCCTTACAGTCCAGTTTTAAGAAAAATAAATAATTGCTATTGAACTGAATATTTATGTAACCCTCTTTAATGTAGATGAAAAGGATTCAAAAAACCCACAAAGGTCTTTGTCTTTTTTTTTTTTTTTTTTTGAGATGGAGTTTCGCTCTTGTTACCCAGGCTGGAGTGCAATGGCGCGATCTCGGCTCACCGCAACCTCCGCCTCCTGGGTTCAAGCAATTCTCCTGCCTCAGCCTGCCGAGTAGCTGGGACTACAGGTGTGCGCCACCATACCCAGTTAATTTTTGTATTTTTAGTAGAGACGGGGTTTCACCATGTTGACCAGGATGGTCTCGATCTCTTGACCTCATGACTCACCCAAAGTGGCCTCCCAAAGTGCTGGGATTACAGGCATGAGCCACCGCGTCCGGCCAAGGTCTTTGTCTTATTTACAGTGAGGGCAGTGGATAGATAAAATGTGAACTCAGAAACCAGGCTGTTTATGATCAAACCTGGGCTCTACCCCTTGCCAGTAGTTTAGCCTTGGGCAGAGTTCTTCCACCTTTCTGTTTCCTTATGTAAAGTGGGGCACCTACCTTTGAGGGCAGATGAGATATTAAATGAGTGTCTAGAGTGAGGACAGGTGCAAAGTGCTTTGTGTCACTGCAACATTGTCAGCGGATATTACTGGCCTTGTTTCACGCTGCAGTGCAACACTGACATCTAGTGGTCAGATTATATGGCTACTTCATCAAGTAAGAGTTTCAACAAAACATGAATATATCCTTTTTTCATTATTTATTTTTTTTTTAGAGACAGGGTCTCGCTCTGTCACCCAGTCTGGAATGCAGTGGTGTGATCATGGCTCACTGCAGCCTTGAACTGGGCTCAAAGTGATCCTCCTGCCTTATCCTCCCTAAGTGTTGGGATTACAGGCTTGAACCACCACATCCAGCTCCATTTTCTTTTTTTTTTTCTTTTTTTTTTATAAAGACGGGGTTTCACCATGTTGGTCAGGCTGGTCTTGAACTCCCCACCTCCACCCACTTTGGCCTCCAAAGTGCTTGGATTACAGGCGTGAGCCACCACACCCGGCCTTCAGCTCCATTTTCTGTAACTAATACCTCAGCCCTCAACCTTTTTCTCAGACCTTTTTTTTTTTTCCTTTGAGACAGAGTCTTGCTCCATCACCCAGGTTGGAGTACAATTACGTGATCTCAGCTCACTGCAACCTTCACCTCCTGGTTTCAAGCGATCCTCCCACCTCAGCCTCCCAAGTGCTGGGATTACAAGCATGTGCCACCATGTTCGGCTAATTTTTGTATTTTTTGGTAGAGATGGGTTTCACCATCTTGGCCAGGCTGGCCTCGAACTCCTGACCTCAAGTGATCTACCTACCTCGGCCTCCCAAAGTGCCAGGATAACAGGTATGAGCCACTGCTCCTGGCCTCTCAGACTTTTAAGTGCCTCTGTATTGCATGCATGTCACTGGAATAACGTTCTTTAATCCTGGGAAGCAACTGCTTTAAAATGAGGGAACACAGAGGTACAAGCACGGGAACTGCCCAGGAGGAATTGTTACTATTTCTTGAGCTCTTATGTAAAGAAATTATTTAAACCTCACGCCTAGCCTGTGAGGTTGGAACTACTGTCTCCAATTGATAAATGAGGGACATGAGGATTGGCCAGGTCCTGTGACTTGCTTGGGGTCACCATGCTCGAGGGAGGGAGCTGGGCTCTGCAGCCACGGTGTGCTCCTGAGTGGAGCAGCTCACCACCCAGAGCCTGGCCTTCTCTCCTGCTGCAGGCCTGGGCTCACCCTGCACAGCCTGCCTGCCCAGCCCATTTGGAAAATCCATCAGAGGCCTGCCCTGCTTGGCCCCGGAGGACTGTCCAGGTAGACTGGGATGTCCTCAAGGAGTAGTGGAAAGAGGCAAGAAGTACCTGTCATTTCTAGATGCCACCCACTGGGCAGATGCAGAGGAAAGTCCTCAGAAGGCTGAACTTCCAAAAAGCTTTCATCTGGGTTTCAACCCTTGGCAAGTTTAGGGAACTTGAGGGATGTCCCTGGGAAAGGAAGACAAGGAGTGGCTTTATGTGCTTCCCTTCCAGTCTTTGTTTGTTTGTTTGTTTTTCAGACAGAGTCTTGCTCTGTCTCCAGGCTGGAGTGCAGTGGCATGATCTGGGCTCACTGCAACCTCTGCCTCCCAGGTTCAAGCAATTCTGCCTCACTTCCCAAATAGCTGGGACTACGGGTGTGTGCCACCACACCAAGCTAATTTTTGTATTTTTAGTAGAGACAGGGTTTCACCATGTTGGCCAGGATGGTCTCAATCTCTTGACCTCGTGATCCGCCTGCCTTAGTCTCCCACAGTGTTGGGATTACAGGCGTGAGCCTCTGCACCTGGCCTTCCCTTCCATTCTAAAGGTAGCACCTACTGTGACAAATGCAGAATACAGAAATGTAGGCAATAAATTAAAAATCAAACAAAAACCTAGAAATACAGGCAGGGCATGGCGGCTCACACCTGTAATCCCAGCACTTTGGGAGGCTGAGATGGGACAACTGTTTGAGGCCAGGAGTTTGATATCAATCTGGGCAACACAGTGAGATCTGGTCTCTACAGAAAATAAAAATTAGCTGGTGTGCTACTGCACACCTGTGGTCCCAGCTACTTGGGAGGCTGAAGTGGGAGGATCACCTGAGCCCAGGAGGTCGAGGCTGCAGTGAGCCTTGGTCGAGCCACAGCACTGCAGCCTAGGCAGCAGAGTGAGACCCTGCCTCTCAAAAAACTACAGCAGGCTGGGCGTGGCGGCTCAAACCTGTAATCCCAGCACTTTGGAAGGCTGAGGTGGGCGGATCACAAGGTCAGGAGTTTGAGACCAGCCTGGCCAATATGATGAAACCCCATCTCTACTAAAAAATACAAAAATTAGTAGGTGTGGTGGTGCATGTCTGTAGTCTCAGCTACGCAGGAGGCTGAGGCAGGACAATCTCTTGAACGGGGAGGCCGAGGTCGCAGTGAGCTGAGATCTCACCACTGCACTCCAGCCTCGGTGAGAGTGAGACTCCGTCTCAAAACGAAAAACAAAAAAACTACAACAAAAACCAAAATTGGGTTTGATGTTTTCACTTCATTGTTAACGTAAAGGAAAAGTAGTAACACTGGTGTCGGAACCATACTTCTCTGTCAATGAATGGCAACGAGACGGTTCCTGTTTCACTAGCTGAATGAAGTCACGGGCGTTCATTCATTGTAGTTTGACTTTGTGACGCTCTTGTTGGTGATAGAATGATAAAGCTGATGGTGGATTGTGCAAGATACACCTGAGGTACAAGCGCAGGGAGCTCTAGAAGAGTGTGTACTGACGATAACGTATACTGCGTTACATGATCTGTAAATCGTGGGCTATGCATCCTTTACACTCGACTGGAACACGCTTTGCACTATGCACACACATGTTTCGCGGAGAGTGGTGTTGAGGGCTGTGCCAGGCGCTGATGCAGGCTCTGGGGTGCAGCAGTGACCCTGGCGGTCAAGCCCCGCCTCGCCCCGCCAGCTCCACCTCCGCAGAGAAAGCTGAGCGGGGCGCTGGAGATCGACCGGGAGGCCCCTCCGCGAAGCACCGCCAGGGGGCGCGCGAGGCAGGACGGAGATGCGTACTTTGTCCCCTCGCGCGTCCCGTCGCCCGCACCACGGCGGGAAAATCCGACAGCTTACCACCGCCGCTCTCAGCCCTCGCGCGTTTGCCCGGGGTCGACCCGCAGAACCCGCAGAGATGGAAGAGGAGGCGGAGGCCGAGGAGCAGCAACGATTTTCTTACCAACAGGTACAGGAAAACGGGGGCCCGGCGGGGCGGGGCCGGAACGACGCCGCGTTTCAGGAGAGACGGGGACCCCGAGGCCCCAGGCGGCCTCTCGTCGGGGCGTGGTTGCTGCCGCGGCTGGTGCTGGGATGTAGTTTCCGCGGCAACGCGTCGGACCTTGGGCTGTTCTAGGGGAGCGCGCTGGCTCCGGGGTCCGGCGGCGAGAGGCCACCTTCTGGCTTTGCGAGGAAGCCTCGGTTTCCCCTTCTCAGATGGGGTTGTCAGGAGGGTGGAACGTTGGCATTAGAGACACTACAGGTGACGCCGGTAGCGCGGAACGCTGGTCCTGGAGGCTTCGACCCTTTGTTACAGATGAGGGCCTGCGCCGCTGGGACTAGGTGCGGACCAGGCTTAGATATGGGTTCGAATCTCCGCTCCGCCAACTCGTGATTGTACTGACTCGGCCCAAACGCAGTTTTTTTTTCTCTGCAAAATCGTCGTTAAGAATAACCACTTGCCAGGGTAGCTGGCAACATTATTCCTGGGCCGGGCGTGGTGGCTCAAGCCTGTAATCCCAGCGCTTTGGGAGGCCGAGGCAGGTGGATCACGAGGTCAAGAGATCGAGACCATCCTGGTCAACATGGCGAAACCCCGTCTCTACTAAAAATACAAAAAATTAGCTGGGCATGGTGGCACGTGCCTGTAATCCCAGCTACTCAGGAGGCTGAGGCAGGAGAATTGCCTGAACCCAGGAGGCGGAGGTTGCGGTGAGCCGAGATCGCACCATTGCACTCCAGCCTGGGTAACAAGAGGGAAACTCTGTCCCCACCAAAAAAAAAAAAAAAAAAAAAAAAAGCCCAAGGCATTCTTCTACATCATCTCAATAAATTGTCCTAATCAGGAACTTTAATATTGATAAAACTGTTGAATGTGCAGTCCATTGTCAGGTGCTCCCACTTGTCCTAAAGACTTTTCTTGTCACTTTTTTCCTTCATCCAGGATTCAGTTAAGGATGAGGCATTGCATGTAGTAATCCTGTCTCTTTGGTCCTCTGTACCCTCTTCTTTTTTTTTTTGAAACGGAGTCTCCCTCTTGTTGCCCAGGCTGTAGTTCAGTGGCTCCATCTCAGCTCACTGCAACCTCCACCTCCCAGGTTCAGGAGATCCTCCTGCTCAGCCTCCCCAGGAGCTGGGATTACAGGTGCAAGCCACCACACCTGGCTAATTTTGCATGTTTAGTAGAGACGGGGTTTCACCATGTTGGCCAGCCTGGTTTTGAACTCCTGACCTCAAGTGATCTGCCCGCCTTGGTCTCCCAAAATGCTGGGATTACAGGTGCGAACCACTGTGCCTGGCGCGTTCTTTTCATTTTTGTGTAATTAGTCCCTAGAACAGAGCCTAGCTCTCAATAGACAACAAATGCTTACTGATGAAATGAAGCTGCAAAGATGGGCTGAGAAATTTGCCCCTTCAGCTGTGATGAGCCCGTAGAAGATTCCCCCCTCATTCACGTAAACAACTGTTCTTGGCAGTTGGTAGACAGTAGTGAACACAACTGACAGGGTCCTGCCTTTGAGGAGTTTAGTGATTTAGTCTGTAAGTGCAGTGATGCTCCCAGCCCAGCCATGGGGAGGGGAGGAGGAGGAAGAAGGTCTGAGAAAACTTCCTGGAGCCAAGAGCATTCAGAAGAATTCATATCCTGTACCCTGACCCCCACCCGTACCCAGAACAGATGACCTTGAGCTGGGCAGGGTGGTATGGGCCTGTAGTCTCAGCTACTTCGGAGGCTGAGGCAGGAGGTTCACTTGAGCCCGGGAGTTCGAGGCTGTAGTGTTCAGTGATCACACCTGTCATCTTCATGCCTTCCACGTTGATGATTTGGCTCTTTGGCTCTCCTCCTACCAGAGGCCTCGATTTACCTGGTCTTGTGAGGTCTGAAATTCAGGAAAGTAGATGCCCTCCTCATCTGTCTGGCCTCTATCCAGGGGTCCTGGACTTGTGCTTTTTGCAGTTCCTCCTCCTCTGGCCCATGCATTGAACACTTGCTGATAGATTTTCTTCCCTCGAGGGTTCAGCTGTCACCATGTGCAGCTCAGCTCTGTCTTCAGCACTGAGACAGAGTACCCACAGGTGGGCTCAACAGAACTCTGTCGACACGTGGCAAAGACTGTTGCTTAGCTTGTCTTACACTCAAGGCTCTTCCTCCCCTCTCAGCACTTTTCTGTAAAGGGCAGAGATCTTTTTCAGTACCAAAAAAGGTTGCTAAGGGACAGTGAGGGCCCCGTGGGGGTGGCCTCCCAACCCTCCAGATCGGGAGGGGGCAAGTGTGCCCTCTTGAACCTTTCCTGTGTTGTTCTGTACATTTTTTTTTTTTTTTTTTTTTTTGAGACAGAATCTTGCTCTGTCGCCAGGCTGGAGTGCAGTGGCATGATCTCAGCTCACTGCAACCTCCATCTCCCAGGTTCAAGCGATTCTCCTGCCTCAGCCTCCCAAGTAGCTGGGATTACAGGTGTGTGCCATTGTGTCCGGCTTTTTTTTTTTTTTTTTTTTTTGATGGAGTTTCGCTCTTGACGGCGCGATCTCGGCTCACCGCAACCTCCGCTTCCCAGGTTCAGGCAATTCTCCTGCCTCAGCCTCCTGAGTAGCTGGGATTACAGGCATGCGCCACCATGCCCAGCTAATGTTTTGTATTTTTAGTAGAGACAGGGAGGATTTCACCATGTTGACCAGGATGGTCTTGATCTCTTGACCTCCTGATCCACCCTCCTCGGCCTCCCAAAGTGCTGTGATTACAGGCTTGAGCCACTGCGCCCGGCCTTTTTTTTTTTTTTTTTTTTTTTTTGATTTTTAGTAGAGATGGGGTTTCACCATGTTGGTCAGGCTGGTCTCGAACTCCTGGCCTTGTGATCCACCCACCTTAAGTTGCTGGGATTATAGGGGTGAGCCACCACACTCAGCCTATCATGTACTTTCGTCCTCTGTGACATGCAGGCCTGGGCTGCCAGGGGCTTACGACAGAGGGATGGGACCTTCTGTATTTGCTTGATTAACCGCCGTAAGGGCAACGTTCCCTGCCTGGTTTCTCACTGTTTCCCAAACACCTAGCATATATATGCCTTTACTCATTCAGGGCTCCGTCTGCAGATAGTTTGGAATCAGTGAGTAAAACCACCCCGGGCCTTGGCAGGCACCAGTCTGACCTGTCTGTCTCCCCGCTGACTTGCCATCGAATTCCTTATCTTTACTTGCTGTAAATCATAACCGTTTACAAGGAGCTAATGTTTCTACAAGTCACACTCCGGTGGGTCTCATTAACTTATTAGTACACTTGAAAAGCCACTCAGCCATTATGGAAAGTGCCGAAGAAATTAGGCTTAGCAGACCCTCTCCTTTGTCTTAATTTTTTAAGCCTTGAAAAGTTCTTTTTTTTTTTGAGACGGAGTTTCGCTCTTGTTACCCAGGCTGGAGTGCAATGGCGCGATCTCGGCTCACTGCAACCTCCGCCTCCTGGGTTCAGGCGATTCTCCTGCCTCAGCCTCCTGAGTAGCTGGGATTACAGGCACGTGCCACCATGCCCAGCTAATTTTTTGTATTTATAGTAGAGACGGGGTTTCACCATGTTGACCAGGATGGTCTCGATCTCTCGACCTCGTGATCCACCCGCCTCGGCCTCCCAAAGTGCTGGGATTACAAGCTTGAGCCACCGCGCCCGGCGAAAAGTTCTTATTTGTAACCTCACCCATGAAATATTTCGGTTTTTCCCCCAGAGGCTAAAGGCAGCAGTTCACTACACTGTGGGTTGTCTTTGCGAGGAAGTTGCCTTGGACAAAGAGATGCAGTTCAGCAGACAAACCATTGCAGCCATTTCGGAGCTGACTTTTCGACAGTGTGGTATGAAGCGTTGGCCTCCCTAGCCATGTCTCTAATCCTTGAAGGTCGATTTCACCTGGGAGCAGTGCGTGGGTGGGGGCGGTGCCTGGGTGGGAGCTGTGGCAAGTCTGACCGAGAACATTGTCATCATACATTCTTCATGAAATGCTTCTCTTCTTGGCTTTGAGATGTGTATATTTTATGGAAAGAAGTATTTGTTTCCTATTATGCTAACACTGGGGCATTCATGCCTTTATTTTAGTGTGTTTTAAACTGCCCTGATGGCTGGAACATTAGACATTAAATTTTTTGTTTCAGTGCTTTATAAAATTTTTATATCACCCATAGTTGTTTTTGACAGCTGAGCTTGTAGCATCCGTATTTGCTTAATTTCAGAGGGGAAATGAATGACTGCGCAAACCTTAACTGTAGCAGAAGTTAAAGGATAGTTTCTAGAAACCGAAGGTGTAGTCAAAATATTAATAGAAGGCTTGTAATGAAGGGTGGAGGGCTCTGGGAAGGACAGGGAGGTCATGTGAATAAAAAAAGCTAAAAGCTCTTATGGAACGGTGGGGCTGCTGGAAGCGCCTCCTTTCACCTTTAAGAGGGTTTGTTGTATTAGTCACTGTACTGGCTATAGAAATCAAGGCATCGCTTTTCCTGCTTCTGAAGTAGGATGGGAGGGATCCTAAAGTGTGTTATCTTTTTTCTCTTTCAGAAAATTTTGCCAAAGACCTTGAAATGTTTGCCAGGTGGGTAGAGAACCTGATTATCCGCCACTGTGTCTCTGTAGTTCTCTGGAGCTCTCCGTCTGGTGGGGTACATCGGGAGAGCTCTAGCTATTCAGGTTTCCATGCGTTTTGTGGAGGCTGGTCTCTAATGATGGTTCTGCAAGAACACGATGCCCGCTTCAATCACGGTGATTCAGACTTGAGCATTTTTTGAAGTTTTCCCAGTATTTTTTGTTAACCCTGGTTATTGAGTTCTAAGTTAAAAAGGTGTGAATGCTGTCTCCTGGACTCTGAATGGAGTGCCTGTGTGAAAAACCACGTCGCTGGGTGGTTTGATTGCTCAGGGCCTGGAGGGAGCCGCAGCGGTCCCGGAGGTAATTGCTTGCAGGTGCACACAGAATGGCATGCAGGGGCTTTCATTTGCCACATTTGTTCCGAGTGAGACGCACTCCTTGGAAAGTGGGTGACTTGCTTTCAGCTGCTAAAGCCTCAGCTTTTACAGGTGATTTATGCTCAGCTTTTCAATTAGTTCCGCAGGTAATTGAAAACAATTGCACTGAATTGCTTTTATGAAGCAATTTGAATGACGAAGGCCTGAAAGGGCGAAAGCTTTCTAATTTGCTGCCACGTGGATTCGGTGCCAGCCTCTCCCACACCCCTTACTTTTCACCTTGCTCCTGTTAGCTCTTTGTTTCTCAGATGCATGTTTGGAATGAATTAAAGCGGTGGGTTCTCAGAGAGCAAGCTCTCAATCTGTCCTATTCCTTTGGATATTCGTCCCTGAAAACCGCTTAGCATCTTGAGCTTGGCCCGAAGGGATAAGTTCGTGTGAAGGGATACTGATAGCTCCTGTGGCTTAGTCACTGTTGATTCAGGCGCTTGCCCTGGTGGGTGGCCCTCCTCTGCGGTAAAAGATGTTTATCATAGGCCGGGCGCGGTGGCTCAAGCCTGTAATCCCAGCACTTTGAGAGGCCGAGGCGGGTGGATCACCAGGTCAAGAGATCGAGACCATCCTGGTCAACACGGTGAAACCCCATCTCTACTAAAAATACAAAAAATTAGCTGGGCATGGTGGCGCGTGCCTGTAATCCCAGCTACTCAGGAGGCTGAGGCTGGAGAATTGCCTGAACCCAGGAGGCAGAAGTTGCGGTGAGCAGAGATCGCGCCATTGCACTCCAGCCTGGGTAACAAGAGCGAAACTCCGTCCCCCCACCCACAAAAAAAAAAAAAAAAAAAAGATGTTTATCACCTTTGCTTGCTATTTCTTTGTTAGCTGTTGTGGGGGGGAGCAATGAAAATTTAAAATACTTAAAAACAATATATGTAAGAGATACAGGGTCTTGTTATGTTGCCCAGGCCGCTCTTGAACTCTTAGGGTCAAGCAATCCTCCTGCTTTGGGCTCCCAAAATGCTGAGATTACAGGTGTGAGCTACCACGCCCAGCCTGAAAATACTTACGTAAAAATTCTGTAAACAAAATGAAATTAGAAACAGCATAGTAGCACATTAGGCTTTCAGATATTCTGTTTTTAAAAGTACATAAAAGGTTGCCCTTTTTTTTTTTTTGAGATGGAGTCTTGCACTGCTGCCCAGGCTGGAGTGCAGTGGTGCAATCTTGGCTCACTGCAACCTCTGCCTCCTGGGTTCAAGTGATTCTCTTGCCTTGGCCTCCCGAGTAGCTAGGATTACAGGCATGCACCACAATAGCTGGCTAATTTTAGTAGCGATGAGGTTTTGCCATGTTGGCCAGGCTGGTCTCGAACTCCTGACTTCAGGTGATCTGCTTGCCTCGGTCTCCCAAAGTGCTAGATTACAGGTGTGAGCCACTGTGCCTGGCAAAAGGTTGATTTTCTTTTGCTGGGTACTGGTGGGGAAAGTGGTGTGTGAATGCATGTGTGTGTGTATCTTAGACTGTAAGCTCCACAAGGAAGGACAGCATCTTTTACATAAAAGAGTTTGTGGAGGCCAGGAGCAGTGGCTCACACCTGTAATCCTTGCACTTTGGAAGGCTGAGGTGGGCTGATCACCTGAGGTCAGGAGTTCGAGACCAGCTTGGGTAACAGGATGAAACTCTGTCTCTACTAAAATACAAAAAAGAAATACTAGCCTGGCATGGTTATGTGCACCTGTAGTCCCAGCTAGAGGTAGGAGAATTGCTTGAACTCAAGAGTTGGAGATTTCAGTGAGCCGAGGTCACACCACTGCACTCCAGCCTGGGCAACAGAGCGAGACTGTCTCTTAAAAAAAAAAAAAAAGAAAGAAAAAGAAGTTTGTGGAGAGGCTGACTCTGAGAACTGAGTGAGTGCAGCAGAGTTCAGTGATGAGGCTTCAGGAGTCTTGGGTGCAGCCAGAGACCGGGAAGCACCCACCTTTCCTGGTACAACCCACAAGTACAGGTTTTCTTTGAAGACTCATCCTTTGTCTGAATTCCAGTTTGCTTTCACAAAAGAGCATTGTTTTAAAGTTTATCTCTGAATAAAATTGATATTCCTGGAAGGTCAGCTTCGGTTATCTTGTGGATTTGAGTTGTCCATGTCACACTTTCTCTACTCCCAAAGACTATTATCACCCCAGTTTGAGAAAGATGTTGTTTCAAGTCAACTGTGTATTAAGTAGGCTCTGTAGGCTGGCCTGGGAACCTAACCAGTATTTGTAACATTGTTTCATTGAGACAACTTTGTTTCCTTTTTCTTCTGCTTTTTCTTTCTTTCTTTCTTTCTTTCTTTCTTTCTTTCTTTCTTTCTTTCTTTTTTTTTTTTTTTTTTTGAGCCGGAGTTTCACTCTTGTTACCCAGGCTGGAGTGCAATGGCGCGATCTCAGCTCCTGAGTTCAGGCAATTCTTCTGCCTCAGCCTCCTGAGTAGCTGGGATTACAGGCACGCACCACCATGCCCAGCTAATGTTTTGTATTTTTAGTAGAGACGGGGTTTCACTATGTTGACCGTGATGGTCTCGATCTCTTGACCTCATAATCCACCCGCCTAGGCCTCCCAAAGTGCTGTGATTACAGGCTTGAGCCACCGCGCCTGGCCTGTTTCCTTTTTCTTACTTCTTTTCTTTTTTGCTTGATACAAGGTCTCTCTGTTAGGCTGGAGTGCAGTGGCAGGATCATAGCCCACTGCAAGGTAGCGCTCCAGGGCTCCACTGAACCTCCCAGAGTTTTGGTATTACAGGCATGAGCTGAGCCACCATGCCTGGAATCTTTTTCTTTTTGGTGAGCTTGTTATGAGAAGTTTCCGTGAGACTACACATTTAAATTATTATTATTGTTATTATTATTATTGTTGGAGTCGGAGGTAAACTTTAGAGCAGGGGCAACTGATGGAGTCTTGCTCTGTCGCCCAGGCTGGAGTGCCGTGGCACAATCTCAACTCACTGCAACCTCTGCCTCCTGGGTGCAAGTGATTCTCCTGCCTCAGCCTCCCAAGTAGCTGAGATTACAGGTGCCTGCCACCACACCCAGCTGATTTTTGTATTTTTAGTAGAGACAGGGTTTCACCCTGTTGGCCAGGCTTATCCCGAACTCCTGACCTCAGGTGATCCATCCGCCTCAGCCACCCAAAGTGCTGGGATTACAGGCATGAACCACCATGCCTGGCCTTTTTTTTTTTTTTTTTTTTTTTTTGAGACGGAGTCTCGCACTGTCTCTCAGGCTATAGTGCAGTGGCACCATCTCAGCTCACTGCATTCTCTGCCTCCTGGGTTCAAGCAATTCTCCCACTTCAGCCTTCCCAGTAGCTGGGACTACAGGTCCATCACACCCAGCTAATTTTTTTTTGTCTTTTTAGTAGAGACAGGGTTTCACCATCTTGGCCAGGATGGTCTTGATCTCCTGACCTTGTGATCCACCCGCCTCAGCCTCCCCAAAGTACTGGGATTATAGGCATGAGCCACTGTGCCTGTGCCCGGCCTTTTTTTTTTTTTTTTTTTTTTCCTGAGACAAGTCTCACTCTGTCACCCAGGCTGGAGTGCAGCAGCTCAGTCTTGGCTCACTGCAGCCTCAGCCTCCTGGGTTCAACCGATTTTCCTGCCTTAGCTTCCCGAGTAGATGGGACTACAGACACTTACCACCACCCCTGCTAATTTTTGTATTTTTAGTAGAGACAGAGTTTCACAGTGTTGGCTAGGCTGGTCTTGAACTGCTGACCTCAGGTGATCTGCCTTCCTCAGCCTCCCAAAGTGCTGGGATTACAGGTGTGATCCACTGCACCTGGCCAGATAATACATATTTAAATTCTAATTTTTTTAATTTTTTTTTTTTGAGATGGAGTTTCGCTCTTGTTACCCAGGCTGGAGTGCAATGGCGCAATCTCGGCTCACCGCAACCTCCGCCTCCTGAGTTCAAGCAATTCTCCTGCCTCAGCCTCCCGAGTAGCTGGGACTACAGGTGTGCATCACCATGCCCAGCTAATTTTTGTATTTTTGATAGAGATGGGGTTTCACCATGTTGACCAGAATGGTCTCGATCTCTTGACCTCGTGTTCCACCTGCCTCGGCCTCCCAAAGTGCTGGGATTACAGGCTTGAGCCACCGCACCCGGCCTTAAATTCTAAATAACCAATACACCCGCAGACTTTGGAAAGCAGCTGCTAATCTGAGTTGTGAATTTCTTTTTGCAGTGGGGTGATATTGGCTCACTGTAGCCTCCATATCCCGGATTTAGGCTATTCTACCTCAGCCTCCCGAGTAGCTGGGATTACAGGCACCTGACACTGTGCCTGGCTAATTTTTGTAATTTTTTTTTTTTTTTTTTTTTTTTTTTTTTTGAGACGGAGTTTCGCTCTTGTTACCCAGGCTGGAGTGCAATGGCGCCGTCTCGCTCACCGCAACCTCCGCCTTCTGGGTTCAGGCAATTCTCCTGCCTCAACCTCCTGAGTAGCTGGGATTACAGGCACGCGCCACCATGCCCAGCTAATGTTTTGTATTTTTAGTAGAGATGGGGTTTCACCATGTTGACCAGAATGGTCTCGATCTCTTGACATCGTGATCCACCTGCCTCAGCCTCCCAAAGTGCTGGGATTACAGGCTTGAGCCACCGCACCCGGCAATTTTTGTATTTTTAAAGGAGACATGGTTTCCCTGTGTCAGCCAGGTTGGTCTCAAACTCTTGACCTCAAATGATCCGCCCACCTAGCCTCCCAAAGTGCTGGAATTACAGGAATGAGCCACTTCACCTAGCCTGAGTTGTGAATTTCTTTTAGCTTTGAAATCTCTAGTCTCCTAATGTTAACAATCAAACATTTTGAAGAAGGTACATATTTTATAGGAAATAAATTCTGGGAACATTTGGGAATCATCTTTAAAGTCTGTGTTACAAAGCGTATTATGTGAAAAATTGCTTTTTATTTTCCCTAGCTAGAGTAATTTTCTGGAGTTGGAGGTTTGACTTAGGAGAGTCTGTGATACTCAGTGGCTGGCAGAGGATGCCCCGCCCCTCCACTGAGGGCCTTAGTGCAGAGATAGCTGAGGCCTTGCTGAAGTGGTGGAGAGGACTGAGAACATTGTTTGCTAAACACTTTCTTGTAAACAGATAAGTTCACTCTGTAGACGGTTCATTATGCCTGTTCCCTTTACTCCTTTTACTGTACTTTAAGAATAATGTAAATACAGACAGAGCAACCTGGCTGTGAGGTGGAGACTGGGCCGCACTGTCCATGAGCACTTAATATTCTCCACCCAGAACATCTGTGGACTGGCCTCATTCTTTGTGGCTTCTGTTTCTCTCCTGTGTTCCTTGCAGGTTGCTAATTAGAAAGTTATCTCTTGAAGTGGGTATTATGACAAGCAAATACTGCCAGTCATGATGAGATGACATGTGGTATTTGTATATCAATATCATAAGCAGAATGTGAAGGATTAATTTGGCCAAATTATGGAGAGTCATTTCTGTGTGGATTTATCTTTTATCTCTGCAGTTGTTGAGTGGGGACTCACCGTGTGTGCTGGTGACTTTGCTAGGTGTAAGGATGCAAAGATTCCTATTTATTCCTGCTTGCAAAGTACCTGTGTATTTTGTGGGGAGGTTAGAAATGGCAAGAAGGGGTGTAATTGGAGTAATATATTATTGAATAGAGCTTATTGTCTCAAACTTTCTTTCCCAGCAAAGATAAGAGGACTAGAATGAGAATTTGAGTTCAACTTGTGAGTAAGAAGCAGACTCCAGTTTAAAGGATGTCCTTTGTTCTACCTGGGTCATTGGGGAGGGAACCCATTAATGACTTGTTGGGAATGGGGCTGGAGGAGGCATCTGCATATGCTTTTTCCTGTAAGTTAGCCCTTGGAGAAAGGCAGGATCTTGATGGAAGTAAAGCCATGCTTTGTGGAGATTCTCTTTGTTCTTCTGTTTCCTGTCTGTTTAAGCAGCTGCTCTCTGTATTGTGAGGCAGATTTTCTCTGCACTACAGTTGTACACTGACCTCCTTGCTTTTTCTGTGGCCTTAGCTGTGACCAAGCAAGCCACGTTTGGAAGGGCTCTAAGCCCTCAGCCCTCCTGTCTACGTTTTTACTCTTCGGGTACCCTTGGCCCTAAGCGGAGGTGGAGAGATGGGCCTCCGCTTTCTCCATCTCTTTACTTAATTGGGGTCTCAGGAACTTCACTAATTTTTGTGTCACTTTTGCTTAATGCCTTTTATCTAAAAGGATGGGCTACTTAGAGATCCCTGCTAGTTTGAAGTCTGACCGTGAACTTCTGTGTTTCATCAAAACTTTAAATAATACCAAACATTTTGGTGACTTGTTTCTGCCCTTTCTGCAGACATGCAAGAAGAACCACAATTAACACTGAAGACGTGAAGCTCTTAGCCAGGAGAAGTAATTCACTGGTGAGAGATGAATTTCTTTCCTCACTCCCCTTTCCCATCAGAATACATTATTCCCAATTAATCACTTGAAGCCATGAAGTTATTCCCCAGGGCACCTTGCATTAAAAACTAGAGATGGTTGAACCATTCAGACCTGCCTGTAATTTACAGTCTGGCTTTCATTATGATGGATTTTGCTAAGCCAATTTGAAATTTTCTAATCAGCACTCTGTGGGTTTTATAATTTGCCTTTTCTGTAATACCGCAAAACTTTGGTCCCATGTTTCATTTACAACATGATGTCAGACACTGGTCACAGGCTTGAGTCTGTAGGAATAGTTTTGTTACTGTGTTCACAATTCTCTGAATGGGCCAGGTGTGGAAGGAGTTTCCGTATGGCTGGATATGCAGGAAAAAGCACGTTTTCCATCTTTTCAAGTCCAGGAATCATTTTGACTGAGCCTCCGTCGTTCAGGTGGAGACTCGGAAATGCACTGGTCATCCCGGGTTAGTGCTCTGGCCGATGGCAGAGCCAGGCCTGGGACATTTCCTGACTGAGTCTCATGCTAGACGCGAAAGCACTGGGGGACCCTCGTGTAATGTGGGCATCATGAGAGCTGGGGCTTTGTCTCTTTGTTCTCTGCTCCGTCTGTGTTGCCTAGAGCAGTCCTGGCACACAGGAGGGGCTCAAGAAATTGTTGATGAATGAACGAATATGTATAGCAGTTTACGGGAGCTTTTCCAGATACTATTTAATGCTCACAGCTTTTTTTTTTTTTTTTTTTTTTTTTTTGAGATGGAGTTTCGCTCTTGTTACCCAGGCTGGAGTGCAATGGCGCGATCTCGGCTCACCGCAACCTCCGCCTCCTGGGTTCAGGCAATTCTGCTGCCTCAGCCTCCTGAGTAGCTGGGATTACAGGCACGCGCCACCATGCCCAGCTAACTTTTTGTATTTTTAGTAGAGACGGGGTTTCACCATGTTGACCAGGATGTTCTCGATCTCTTGACCTCGTGATCCACCCGCCTTGGCCTCCCAAAGTGTTGGGATTACAGGCGTGAGCCACCACACCCGGCCAGCTTTTTTTATTATTATTATTATTATTATTTTTATTTTAGACATGCAGTCTCTCTATGTTGCCCAGGCTGTTCTTGAACTCCTGGGCTCAAGCAGACCTCCCAGCTTGGTTTCCTAAAGTGCTAGGATTACAGGCGTGTGCCACAACTTTTTTTTTTTTTGAGACGGGGGTCTCACACTGTCACCCAGGCTGAGTGCAGTGGCACAGTCATTGCTTACTGCAGTCACTGTCTCCTGGGCTCCAGTGATCCTTTCACCTGAGCCTCTCAAGTAGCTGGGACTACAGGTGCATACCACCACGCCCAGCTAATTTTTTTTTTTTTTTTTTTTTTTTTTTTTGAGACGGAGTTTCGCTCTTGTTACCCAGGCTGGAGTGCAATGGCACGATCTCGGCTCACCGCAACCTCCGCCTCCTGGGTTCAGGCAATTCTCCTGCCTCAGCCTCCTGAGTAGCTGGGATTATAGGCACGCGCCACCATGCCCAGCTAATTTTTAGTATTTTTAGTAGAGACGGGGTTTCACCATGTTGACCAGGTTGGTCTTGATCTCTCGACCTTGTGATCCACCCGCCTCGGCCTCCCAAAGTGCTGGGATTACAGGCTTGAGCCACCGCGCCCGGCGCCCAGCTAATTTTTTGTAGAGACAGGGTATTTTGTATTTTTTATAGAGACAGGGTTTTACCATATTGCCTGGGCTGGTCTCAAACTCTTTGGTTTCAAATGATCTGTCTGCCTTGGACTCCGAAAGAGCTGGGATTACAGGTCTGAGCCACTGCACCTGGCCACAACTTTTAATAACGACACAAATTGTTGGCTGGGTACAATGGTTCACGTCAATAATCCCAGAATTTTGGGAGGCCAAGGCAGGAGGATTGCACGAGCCCGGAAGTTTGAGACCAGCATGGCCACATAGTGAGACCCCCATATCTACAAAAAACTTTTTAAAAAAAGAAAAAAAATTGAAGCTGTATTTAATTTTAAGAAATATAACCCAGGCGTTTCTGTCCAAATTCTTTTAGTCAGCGGTGGTTGTGGAGGGTTTAATTTTATTTGTTTTTTTTAGGTTTGTAGCAGGATTACAACCAGTTATAAATACATATTTGTGTGTGTGTGTGTGTGTGTGTGTGTGTGTAGCTAAAATACATCACAGACAAAAGTGAAGAGATTGCTCAGATTAACCTAGAGCGAAAGTCACGGAAGAAAAAGAAGTCAGAGGATGGAAACCACAATTCAAGAGAGCTGGCCGAGGCTGGAGTAGTGGAGAGTGAGAAGTAAAGTCTCCTGCCACGTGGAAAATGCACCTTGAACAGGGAGAGCGACCTGGAAATGCGTACGGCTGCAAAGGGAACTTTGAAGGGATAAGTAGTGATTACAAAGAAAAAAAAGGCTAAAGTGGCTTTTGTGCTGAATTCTCCACATTGTTAACTGCAAAAGCTAGTTTAAGAGGACAGGAAAGTCATAAGCAAAATACTCCTGGGTCTCATTCCAGCACATAAAAACTGTGTGTAATTGAATGGTATGTATTGGAAATGATATATCTTGCAATTAAAATTGTGTGAGCAATTAAACATGGTTGACTTTTTCAAGCAAAAATCAGTTATTCATCTTTTGATGTGATTTTCTAGGCTAAATGACGATCTCTGAAAGGTGAATAAAACTGAATTTATTTAGCTTTTCTGGTTACTAATTTGTTTTTTTTTTTTTTTTTTTTGAGACGGAGTTTTGCTCTTGTTACCCAGGCTGGAGTGCAATGGCGCGATCTCGGCTCACCACAACCTCCGCCTCCTGGGTTCAGGCAATTCTCCTGCCTCAGCCTCCTGAGTAGCTGGGATTACAGGCAAGCGCCACCATGCCCAGCTAATTTTTTGTATTTTTAGCAGAGACGGGGTTTCACCATGTTGACCAGGATGGTCTCGATCTCTCGACCTCGTGATCCACCCACCTCGGCCTCCCAAAGTGCTGGGATTACAGGCTTGAGCCACCGCGCCCGGCTTTTTTTTTTTTTTTTTTTGAGATGGAGTCTTACTCTGTTGCCCAGGCTGGAGTGCAATGGTTCGATCTCAGTTTACTGCAATCCCTGCCTCCCAGGTTCAAGCAATTCTCCTGCCTCAGCCTCCTGAGTAGCTGGAACTATAGGTGCATGCCACCACGCCCAGCTAATTTTTGTATTTTTAGTAGACACAGGGTTTTACCATGTTGGTCAGATTGGTCTCGAACTCCTGACTTTGTGGAATGCCCACCTTGGCCTCCCAAAGTGCTGAGATTACAGGTGTGAGCCACTGCGCCCAGCCACTGGTGGTGGTTTTAAAAACATGCCGCCTATGGTCACCATGTTTGGGAATGGCCCTTTTCATTTTTTTTTTCTTTTTTGTGACGGAGTCTCGCCTTGTCCCCCAGGTTGGAGTGTGGTGACTCGATCTTGGCTCACTACAACCTCCACCTCCCAGGTTCTAGCGATTCTCCTGCCTCAGCCTCCCAAGTAGCTAGGACTACAGGCGCACGAACACCAACGCGCCTGGTAAATTTTTGTATTTTTAGTAGAGACAGGGTTTCACCATGTTGGTCAAGCTAATCTCAAACTCCTAACTTTGTGATTCACCCACCTCGGCCTACCCAAGTTCTGGGATAACAGGTGTGAGCCACTGCACCTGGCCCCCTTTTCACTTTTTAAAGGTGAGTTTCTTTAGAAACAGTTTCTGTTACTTCTTTTTTCTTTTTTTAATACTTTATTGCATTTTAGGTTTGGGGGTACATGTGAAGAACATGCAGGATTGTTGTATAGGTACATACATGGCAGTGTGGTTTGCTGCCTTCCTCCCCTTCACCTATATCTGGCATTTCTCCCCATGTTACCCCTTCCCAACTCTCCACCTCCTGCTGTCCCTCACCTAGTTCCCCGCAACAGACCTCAGTGTGTGATGCTCCCCTCCCTGTGTCCATGTGTTCTTATTGTTCAACACCTACCTATGAGTGAGAATATGCAGTGTTTGATTTTCTGTTCTTGTGTCAGTTTGCTGAGAATGATGGTTTCCACGTTCATCCATGTCCCTACAAAGGGTACAAACTCATCGTTTTTTATGGCTGCCTGGTATTCCATGGTGTATATATGCCACATTTTCCCTGTCCAGTCTATCATCGATGGGCATTTAGGTTGGTTCCAGGTCTTTGGTATTGTAAACAGTGCTGCAGTGAACATTCATGTGCGTGTGTCCTTATAATAGAACTATTTATAGAGGCCGAGGAGGGTGGATCATGAGGTCAAGAGATCGAGACCATCCTGGTCAACATGGTGAAACCCCGTCTCTACTAAAAATGCAAAAAATTAGCCGGACGTGGTGGCACATGCCTGTAATCCTAGCTACTTGGGAGGCTGAGACAGGAGAATTGCTTGAACCCAGGAGGCGGAGGTTGCTGTGAGCCGAGAATGCTCCATTGCACTCCAGCCTGGGCAACAAGAACGAAACTCCGTCTCAAAGAACTATTTATAATCCTTTGGATATATATCCAGTAATGGGATGGCTGGGTCAAATGGAATTTCTGTTTCTAGGTCCCTGAGGAATCGCCACACTGTCTTCCACCATAGTTGAACTAATTTACACTCCCACCAACAGTGTAAAAGTGTTCCTGTTTCTCCACATTCTCTCCAGCATCTGTTGACTCCAGATTTTTTAATTTTTATATTTTATATCTTTTTTGAGACATAGTTTCGCTCTTGTTACCCAGGCTGGAGTGCAATGGCGCGATCTCGGCTCACCACAACCTCCGCCTCCTGGGTTCAGGCAATTCTCCTGCCTCAGCCTCCTGAGTAGCTGGGATTACAGGCACGCGCCACCATGCCCAGCTAATTTTTTGTATATTAAGTAGACACGGGGTTTCACCATGTTGACCAGGATGGTCTCGATCTCTTGACCTCGTGATCCACCCGCCTCGGCCTCCCAAAGTGCTGGGATTACAGGCGTGAGCCACCGCGCCTGGCTCAGATTTTTTAATGATCAGCATTCTTTTTTTTTTTTTTTTTTTTTTTTTTTTGTTTTGTTTTTTGTTTTTTTTTTTTTGTTTTGTTTTTTTTGAGACGGAGTTTCGCTCTTGTTAACCCAGGCTGGAGTGCAATGGCACGATCTCGGCTCACCGCAACCTCCGCCTCCTGGGTTCAGGCAATTCTCCTGCCTCAGCCTCCTGAGTAGCTGGGATTACAGGCACACGCCACCATGCCCAGCTAATTTTTTGTATTTTTAGTAGAGACGGGGTTTCACCATGTTGACCAGGCTGGTCTCGATCTCTTGACCTCGTGATCCACCCGCCTCAGCCTCCCAAAGTGCTGGGATTACAGGCTTGAGCCACCGCGCCCGGCTTAATGATCAGCATTCTAACTGGCATGAGATGGTATCTCAATGTAGTTTTGATTTGTATTTCTCTAATGACTGGTGATGTTGAGCATTTTTTCATGTTTGTTGGCCTTATACATGTCTTCTTTTGAAAAGTGTCTGTTCATATCCTTTGCCCACTTTTGAATGGGTTTCTTTGTTTCTTTTTTTTGTAAATCTGTTTTACTTCTTTGTAGATTCTGGATATTAGCCCTTTGTCAGATGGGTAGATTGCAAAAATTTTTTCCCATTCTCTTGAATACCAGTTCACTCTAATTAGATTGTGTTCTTTGCTGTGCAGAAGCTCTGGAATTTAATTAGATCTCGTTTGTCTATTTTGGCTTTTGTTGCCAATGCTTTTGGTGTTTTAGTCATGAAGTCCTTGCCCATGCCTACGTCCTGAATGGTTTTGCCTAGGTTTTCTTCTAGGGTTTTTATGGTGTTAGGTCTTACGTGGTTTTTTTTTTTTTTTTTGAGACGGAGTTTCGCTCTTGTTACCCAGGCTGGAGTGCAATGGCGCGATCTCGGCTCACCGCAACCTCTGCCTCCTGGGTTCAAGCAATTCTCCTGCCTCAGCCTCCTGAGTAGCTGGGACTACAGGCATGCACCACCACACCCGGCTAATTTTTGTATTTTTGTATTTTTTTTTTTTTTTTAGATGGAGTTTCACTCTTGTTACCCAGGTTGGAGTGCAATGGCACGATCTCGGCTCACTGCAACCTCTGCCTCCTGGGTTCAGGCAATTCTCCTGCCTCAGCCTCCTGAGTGGCTGGGATTACAGGCACGTGCCACCATGCCCAGCTAATTTTTTGTATTTTTAGTAGAGACGGGGTTTCACCATGTTGACCAGGATGGTCTCGATCTCTTGACCTCGTGATCCACCCGCCTCGGCCTCCCAAAGTGCTGGGATTACAGGCTTGAGCCGCCGCGCCCGGCCTGTATTTTTAGTAGAGACGGGGTTTCACCTTGTTGACCAAGATGGTCTCGATCTCTTGACCTAGTGATCCACCCACCTCGGCCTCCCAAAGTGCTGGGATTATAGGCGTGAGCCACCGCGCCCGGCCAGGTCTTATGTTTAAGTCTCTAATCCATCTGGAGTTAATTTATCAGGAAGGGATCCAGTTCGTTTTTATTTTTTTGAGACAGAGTCTTGCTCTGTCGCCCAGTCTGGAGTGCAGTGGTGTGATCTTGGCACATTGCAACCTCTGCCTCCTGGGTTGAAGTGATTCTCCTGCCTCAGCCTCCTGAGTAGCTGGGACGACAGGTGTGTACCACCACGCCTGGCTAATTTTTGTATTTTTAGTAGAGACGGGATTTCACCATCTTAGCCAGGCTGGACTTGAACTCCTGACCTCAGGTAATCCTCCTGCCTCAGCCTCCCAAAGTGCTGTAATTACAGGTGTGAGCCAACTGCATCTGGCTGGCCGTGACTTCTCTGACTATTTTGTAACGAAGCTATGGTTCTGCTCAGGAAAGTTTTGCTTGAGGGGAATATCTGGGACTACTAGATCAGAAGACTTCAGCATGACATCCTGTTTTAGTGAGAGAAAACGCTCCCAGGGGTGCCAGTCTTACTGTCTTCTCATGCCCTTGGGTTTCTTAGAGATCCAGGCCTGCCTTTCCCTTTACCCTGTGGCAATACGGTGAAGAGAACAGGCAGGCATTTGTGGAGCCCTTTCTGTGTGCCAGGCACACACTGGGTACTCCATGTATTACCTCACTGATCTCCACAACTTTGTCAGCGTAGGTCTGATTCTCCACCCTCTCCTGATGAGCAAATGGAATTTTGATGAGGTTAACCAGCTGCCCAGGGTCACCAGGCTATAGTTAGGAGACTGTTCAGATTTGGGGCCACTCACTCTAGAATGGGTGAGACAAAAGGGCATGCATTTGGGGTAGAATTTATACCATCTGTGCCCAAATCTGATCAGCACAATACACCCCACAGCCTGACTCTGAAAGGGAGGCGCTAAGCTATGGCTATGGTGGAGCACTGAGTTCACACTTCGTGGTTTTGGGTCTGCCAGTGGCTCAGCACTTGTCCTCATGTTAATGATGATATCTGTGTGTCATATCAGTGAAAGAAGAGTTAGTCATAATGCTGTCCATCCTGTGTTCAGCCAAAGACCCATATGTTAGCAGTTTCATTTTCGGATAAGCTCTCTTTAAACTCCTTATTGGCCAAGGGCAGTGGGTTGTGCCTGTATTCCCAACTACATGGAAGGCTGAGGCAGGAGATTCACTTGAGCCTGGGAGTTTGAGACCAGCCTGGGCTGCACAGTGAGACCCCCGTCTCTAAAAGAAAAA